CTAAGTCTATTAAATTTTTGTCAATTCAAATGATTCATTATAATATTATTATTGTTTATTAAACTGGCACAAAGGTTCAGAAAACAATTTCGAATACTAGTTCTTGACTGCAGGTTCATACAATTATAGACAAAAATTCCTTACTATCTAGAGCTTAAAATTGATGTACCGTTTTTCAAGTACGCAGAGAGAGAGAGAGAGAGAGAGAGAGAGAGAGAGAGAGAGAGAGAGAGAGAGAGAAGGAGAGAGAGAGAGAGATTAAAAAAATACAACAAAGGTATCCTTACATAACTTCTCTGCTTGTATGATCTCTGTCTTTATAAATAATTTACAGTTAGTCTTTATTTGTTTTTCATTAAAATGAAAGTTATGCAGGAAATTAAAAAAAAATGTATATTGTTATCCTGTATGTGCTTTATGTGAGCTCAGATTATCTCAGAGGATGTAAGATTTACTTTTTCAGACGAAATCATGAAGAAATAAAGATAGATGTCTTCTGCATTAATATTAATTTTGTCCGAGAAAAAAAATGTTTTAGGAATAATTCATTTATAATAAAAGTAATACTTTCCCCATTTAAAAATCTCTTATTGTCTATATGAGACTCCCTTCGGGTTGCGTTTTAGATTCACTGGGGACTTCACTTTTCCCATATACCTAGAAAAATAATTACCTTCGCCTCCATATCTGTACATTGAATGTTGAATATTCTGCAAATTCGGGAGGTTACATGTATGAACCCTCTCTCCTATCCCCTCGAGATCCACACTTGTGGAAGAGGAGTAAAGAAGAAAGACTCTTCGAACATAATAAAAAAAACCCTACAGTTGTGGATTTATGATGTATTATTTTTTCTGTTAAATGTAGAAAATTACCAGAAAGAGGGTGATTGTGCTTTTGTAACCGATGCCCCCCCCCAAAAAAAAAGTGGGGAAAAGATTTGCTTTAAAATCAAAATAGACAATTTTAATGAATCTCCCGCCTTCTTTAGGAATATAATGACAGTGTCCATGTTTTGCTATGTAAAACCCAAAATAAAAGTCCGATCAGTAAGTAAGTTAATTATTAAAGATTCTGTGAAATTTCATTCAGTGGTAAGAGAAGAGTTGTGGATAAGAGATGGGCACCCAAAAAGGCAACAGACGGACATAAAGCGGGGGTATTAATATAGTTATATGTGTAGTCACTATACCCGTCCCGATTTACAATTAATACTTTATACATACAATACAACAATCAAATGTGTGTGTGAATGCTTTGTCAAAAACGTAAGAGATGGTGCATGTCGAAATCTCTAATAAGACAATCTTTTCTTCTGAGAAGAATTTTATTAAAATATGAAGTACGTTATTAGTTTACTTCAATCATACCAAATGGTTGTAACAGCCCCCCTTTTCATAGTATGTATAATTAAATAATGCAATGGTTGTATTTTTAAAACTTCTTAGAACCGTACTTTTTCTTTAGAACTCGCTAAATTGTTTTAAAATAATTAAAATTGCTTAATTTTAACTTTACGCCCGAACGTACGCCTACCCTTGAGTAGACGTAAAAGTTTGGCCTAAATTTAGTCAGGCGTAACGATACACTCTTTAATGAAACGCAAATCTTCGTGCTAGTCTCGACTTAACGCCGTTTTTTCAGGTAAGAAAACCATGGGACAAAAATGTTAACATTATGAAATCATAGGACACAAACTTTTTAAATGAGTACCTTACAAATGTAAGTTGTTTTTAACGCAAGACACGCATCTTTTTTTAATTAAAAAAATCTTCAAAAAGTAAAACTCTTTAAAAATTCATATCTATTAAAGTCAAACAAAGGATGGAAGCATATGTCTTTAAATTCAAGGAATCAATAAAAAAAAGTAACAAACAATGCTAATAAGAGTTATGAATATGAACAAACAAAAATCTTTAACAGATATGTAATCTTAAAGACTCCTAATAATTAAAATTGTACTTTTGTTAATTTGTTCCATTCATCCCACCTAAAACAAGATTTACCTGCTATAACCATGGGGCAGTAACTTTTTTTTATAATTCTAAAGGCATGGGGCAGCTATTTTTTGAAATATGAATACTGCAATTACATGTAATTGTTAATGAGAATTTTTTTCTACCAGTTCAATCATTATGATAACTTTTGTCTGGTCCTTTACCACGCCTCTAATTCTCTGAGTTATGATCAATGAAATATATACCAATGAAAAGATGAAATATGTCATTTACTAGTATTAAAAAGACGAAAATAATATACATAACATGATAGGGGATTAGACAAAATGGTAGTCGCATAAAAAAGACATCAATATGCTGATGTCCTAAATTTACAGATAAACAAATTAAACTAAGCAAATATAAACAACATTAGGTATAAAGCAAAACAGATCGTACATCAACAGTAAAAAATACCCCCAAATGTGATTGATGACCTAATTTGCCATTCAAAATGAGGTTTGGCATAAAAATTCATTTTAATTTGATTTCATTTGTTTTTCATGATGTAAAGATCGTGATCGTGAGCTCGTGAGTTCGAATCTGATCTACGTCGATAAAAAATGGGTAGCAACTGTTCTTTCGCCATGCGCTCGGCTCTTTGAAATAAAAGTTGCGGGTCCTTCGGATGATACTTCTCCGAGGTCCCGTGTCAGCGGCATGTGTTGGCACGATAAAGATCCCTCACTGCTCAATGGCCCTGAGTGCCGGGTCAAGGTCAAAATTTGAGGCCCTTCACCGGCATACGGTGACGTCTCAATATGAGTGAAAAATTCTCGAGAGATAGGTTAAACAATATGCAATCAATCAATCAATCATCATGTAAAGATGTCATTGAAATTTACATCAGGCTATATCTTCAGTTGAACACTGACCTGGCATCTATTGTTGAATGAAAACATATACATAGACATGACCCTGAAAATCTTCATGTAAATGGACCCAGCAGACAACAATCATATTCGATTTGTCTCCTTTAGTAAACCAAAGGGGGTGCGACATTACGAATCACTGACAGTATAGCGTGCCAAGTGTATCAATTCAATTAAAGGAGAACAAGCTAATTCAGAGAATTCGTGTCCCCCGCTTAGGGAAAAAGTCGGCTCCCCCTGACTGAATTTGCAGAATTATTAAATGTATACATGTATACTGAAGCAAATAAAATACATGTATGTCAATATGCATATAAAGATTTGATTGCTTATTCTTCATTATGTGTATAGAAGATTTTTAATGGAATTTTTATCACACTGTAATGATGATTTTATAACTTCTTAAATTTTTCATTTCACATGCTGAATACTATCATTTAGTAAAAAAAAGTAAAGTATTAAAAACAAGCTAATTCAGAGAATTCGTGTCCCCCGCTTATGGAAAAAGTCGGCTCCCCCTGACTGAATATGTAGAATTATTAAATGTATACATGTATAAAGATTTGATTGCTTATTCTTTATTATGTGTATAGAAGATTTTTTTATATGAAATTTCTATCACACTGTAATAATTATTTTATAACCTCATATATTTTTCATTTCACATGCTTAATACTATCATTTAGTAAAAAAAAAAAAATATTTAAAAAAAAAAAAAAAGAAAGGTTCGACCGAGATTCGATCCCTGGACCTCTCGCGGTTGAAGCGAGAGACATATCCACTAGGCCACGGAATCGCTTTATATCTAATGAAGTATATGCAGAAGTGAAGTCACATACATGTATATATTCATGTTTTCATGTTCGGTATTCTCAAAATTTTACACAATCCATGGTGTTTGATTTATTAAGCCTTTATTAAACAGTTCTAATAGATGTAATAAGAACATAAAGTCCGCCGAGAACCTGTTTTATACGCAATAACTCTCCTCATGCCCCTGCGCTAAAAATAGCGACATGTAATACTATAAATACTAACAAAACACACGGGGCGGGGCACTTTGAGAGGGGCGAGAGACGTCCTAGGGAGTTTTGATATAAAATTACATTGCATAAGCTCAAAATCTTCTTGAAATATCGCCCGGAAATAATAGTATTACACACAGACAGAATGTATATATTTACGACCTTGAACTTTGACCTTTTAACCTCAAGATCAATAGGGGTCTTCCTTAGGCCACAGGAAGTTGTTATGTAAAATTTCATTGCAAAAGCTCAAAGGGTTCTCGAGATATCGTGTGGAAACGAATGTGTTAAAACAGACAGGATTTACGAAATTATGACCTTGATCTTTGACCTTTTGACCTCAAAATCAATAGGGGTCTTCTTTAGTTGATAGGGAGTTGCTATGCAAAATTTCATTGCGAAAGCTCAAAGGGTTCTCGAGATATCGTGTGGAAACGAAAGCGTTACAGACAGACAGAAAGACGGACAGACGGACGGACGGACAAACCCAAATTAATATCCCCCACTTTTCAAGCGGGGGACAAAAAAAAAAGAAAGGTCCGACCGAGATACGATCCCGGGTCCTCTCACACTTGAAGCGAGAGACATAACCACTAGATCACGGAATCACTTTACATGGTAAGAAGTATATGCAGAAGTGAAGTCACATAAATTTGTATATTCATGTTTTCATGTTCGGTATTCTCAAAATTCTACACAATCCATGGTGTTTGATTTATTTAGCCTTTATCAAACAGTTCTAATAGATGTAATAAGAGCATAAAGTCCGCCGAGAACCTGTTTTATACGCAAAAACTCTCCTCATGCCCCTGCGCTAAAAATAGCGACATGTAATACTATAAATACTAAAAAAAACAAACGGGGCGGGGCACTTTGAGAGGGGCGAGAGACGTCCTAGGGAGTTTTGATATAAAATTACAGTGCATAAGCTCAAAATCTTCCTGAAATATCGCCCGAAAATAATAGTATTACACACAGACAGAAAGTATAAATTTACAACCTTGAACTTTGACCTTTTGACCTCAAAATCAATAGGGTCTTCATTAGGCCACAGGGAGTTGTTATATAAAATTTCATTGCAATAGCTCAAATGGTTCTATAGATATCGTGTGGAAACGAAGGTGTTTTAACAGACAGAATTTGCTTATTTATGACCTTGACCTTTGACCTTTTGACCTCAAAATCAATAGGGGTCTTCTTTAGTCCACAGGGAGTTGCTATGCTAAATTTCATTGCAAAAGCTCAAAGGGTTCTCGAGATATCGTGTGGAAACGAATGCGTTACAGACAGACAGAAAGACGGACGGACGGACGGACGGACAAACCCAAATTAATATCCCCCACTTTTCAAGCGGGGGACAAAAAATAACAACGTTATATTTATAAATAACTTATGATTGTATAATGGAAATAAAAATTAATTTTTAAAATAAATGACATTATTTTCTGTATAAATGTTTTTATTTTACAAAGTACCAGGTTGCGCGCGTGGCTCAGTGGTTAGAGATTTGCATAATGGTAGCGGTGTAAGGAATTGAGCATTATATCATTGAATCGAATCCAAACGCGGGGCATGGATAACTGTCCAGCGTATGAGATTTATCAGCTGAGCTCCCATGTTGCAACAGATGTAGACAGGAGAAAAGATCCATTGATGCTGATTGGACTTAAGTTCGTTGATTGATTGATTGATTGTATAGTGTTTAACACCCCCTCGACAATTTTAACTCACATGGAGACGCAAGTGCGAATTATAGATATAAATTTGCAGCCATCCAACGATAAGTGTTGGTGTCTCCATATGAGAAAAAAAATCGTTTTTGTTATAAACAGCAAACAAACAACCATGTCAACTGACATTTTATAATTAAGGGATGAACATTCCAACGTTTTGTAATTATTACATAACAGCATGATAAAGTTATCCCACATGAATAATTAACATACATACGGACAATTTAAACATATTTATATTTATTTAAACAAATAAATATATATGATTAAAAAAAAGAGCAACATTTATGTTCTCAGATTTCATTGGTTTATAACATTTTTAACAATATAACTTATTAGATATTGTCACTATAATTAACAATATATCTTAGAATGAAATAGTGTGGAAATGTCTGTGAAATTCACAATGATTTCGAAATACATATATTGTCAAATTTGGATGCAGTTTTTGGAACTACTGACGGCAATCGTGTCGCAAACTCTTTGTTATCAAAGATTGGATTCCGTAGAAAACTAAAATTGAAATAAATACGAATAAATAATAAAAAAAAGCTCTTGCATTCAATTCTTTAAATCTTGTCTACGACAAATAAATAATAAGCATGGTTAATAAGCTTACAAACAATAAAAAAAAAAATAAATAATACGTCTACTAGAAGCAGGATAATGGCACTGTTGATTTTCAATGCACAATCAAAGTTTTAATACTTACCATTTAGATGTACTTGTATGAGAGCAAACAACTGGTTACTGTACCTTTTGTGATCTTCTGGTGTGGGTTTACGGTCGTAATTATAAAGTGTTCAATAAAATGTCGACTAAGGTAATTTCAAACGGCATAAAGTGTATGCTTATTCTGTAAGTTCATTTCCAATGTCTAACTATATACTAGAAATAAACGATGTTTTTTTAAAACAATACTTACTTTTGGATAACTATACAAGTCAAAACTGTTGACGATCATATACAGTTTTATCTTCTTTCTTCTATTAATGTTTTTCGGGGTCAGTAATAATAAGTATGTTTATCTTGCAATTTCAACCAGGATAAGGAAAATGTTTGTGTGTTTTGTCATTTTCATTGCCTTTTATAAGGTATACTCCGTGTCTTAATATGGAATTGTTCAAAGTTTAAATGATTAATAATTATGTACTTAAGGATGACGTTTACTCAGGTTTCAGAAATCAGAGAGGAAATTTTATTAAGTATAATATATTAAATCAAAAATTGTTTTAAATGGATGAAATAACTAAGTTTTATCTCAATATCAGTGTAAAAATTTAATATGCAAGTCCTTGAAGAAAAGATACAGGAACAAAATCAATGTATGGCTATGCAGAGAAAATTCGGACTAAATTTTTCATTTTTCATTTTTGTCAAAACATTTTTTTCTTGCAATATTAATCACAGAGTAAAGGTTACATGTATTTTAAGTCATCATTTTGTAAATATTATATGTGTTTAAGCTCATAAATTATTTCATATAAATGAATGCTTTTACATAAAGAAATTCAAAAACATGTACAAAAACCACTCCAGTCAATATATCTCAATAATTTGATATATAATATTAATACCATTAGAATGAAGGTAGCAAAAGTAACCCGAGGCTATGAATAACTTAGAGTTCTTATCAGTCAGATTCTTGCAATATTTGATTAAAAATAGGAAATATATAAATATGACAGAGGAAATTCGGACTAGAATAATTATCACGTTTACGGCCCAAACTCTACTCATTTCTTTATGTGGAGCAACTCTATTCCCTTGCCATAATATTTCATTATTTAAAGAGTTTTGTTGCTTGTAATATTTTGTGAGTGAAGAAAAAATGGTCATAGTGTGAAAAAATAGAGGTATTTCCCGAGAAATACTCAGGGGCCCGTAGCGTGAAAACGAGGTCATTGACCTAGTAATTTGAAATTGAAATTTAACACAAGAATCATAGGTGTACAATGTGCAGTAGGTGGTTTTTCGTTCTTATCAGTGGAATTTTTAGTCATCTGAGTGTAGGTATACTTTTAAATGTTTTTTTCGTTGTTTTACGCTTTTCAGATGATCCTTAATTGACCCTGATATCAATACAAACTGTATACTTCAAAAAGATCAGGCATTACTTTCAATTAAATGTTCAGTATGGGACAATGTGTATGCGTAGATAAAGAAACTAATTTTTAATCCTCATATACATGCAAAATAAGTACCCCCCCCCCCCCCCCCCCCAATTTTGTCATTTTTTATGAACTACTGGTTTATATGTGAGAAAAAATATTGAAGTAATTGACATTCATTATGATTAGTAAAACATATTTCCTTCACCTCACATCATTTTTATCTATTTATTTATGCAGTTATTCCGTTTAACTGTTAAATAAACTTACAATAATTTCTTTCTGAGGTGGTGAAAACATCAACATTCGTAGAAGACGGAGTCAGAGAGCTAGTTTCCCAGGTAGACAAGGTCAAGGACGATGTCCCAATCTCAAAGTCAGTTTTATCAAGTGTGCTTATGTCACCGGGAAGACACGTCAAGTTTGATACCGATAGATCGATGAGTAGAGTTCCGCTCAAGTTGCCAGGAGAAGCACATTCTGGGTCACCCAAGGCAAACATCTTTGATTTCAGAAATCTGACAAAGCCTTTCAGCTCGCAATCACAGTGAAAAGGATTACCATTTAAAGAACTGTAAGAAAGGTAAATGCATTAAATATATTATCAAGACTACATTAATTTTTTGGAACAATAATTCGGATGCATTGACAAATAAATTTATATAAAACGAAAACCATAGGAATGGAAAACAAAGAAATAACACAATCATTTAAGGAGGCTCATTACACCACTTTTTGATGACGTACTACACAAAAAAATAAACCTCCATTGTTTCGACCGAATTCCTTTGGGGTCGAATCGTATGGGTACCTCACCAATATGACCCTGACCTCTAAAACGCTTTAAAAATAGATGAAACATGCGGTGTTATAAACAGTGAAAACATTAAGTAACGGATTCATTTTACATACATCAAGAGGGATTACTTTTTAGCAGAAACAAAAGAAAACAACAGCCAAATCTTCGCCAAACAAGTAATGTGCAATTTCTGACATGTCGAAGCAGTGGGCTCTATCAATCAACGTGTTTGCATGGAGGAAATTCGAGTTTAAATTTACAACCTTGTTGAAATTAAAATGTTATTTACTTGCACAATTTACTGTGTTGTTGTTTATTAATACATTTGCTTTATTGATTTAAATATATATTATGGAAGTTTAAAGCTTTATTTTGAAATTTAGATGTAATGTTCAAACGTTCCTTAGTGTTTTGAGTTTTGGGTAATTAGGAAAGATAACTCTTGAAGAAGGACTTTTTATACCAAATATTTTCGAAATTGGAATTTTCATTTCGTTAAAACATTCTTCTTTCAATTTGTCACAAGCAATTCATTGAAATTCATTCCTTGTCTCTTCAGAACTCATTTTTAAAATATTTTATGCGCAGATTAAAAAGATAATGACATTTATTGTTTTTTTAGAAGAAAACTATTTTTTCTAATAAAATTAATATTAGGTATTATGAAATATTTTCATTGTGTGTACTTGTCTAAAGAAGACGTCCATCATTTGACACTGAAAGTTCTGAAATTCTGGAAATAATAAACTTGGAATAAAACATTTCACTAAAATAAAAAGAAAGTTAAAAAATTCTCTAAAAATATTTACGATATCAATATCTCCATTTGGATATTTGGCATCTACATGATAAGTGGTGCTGTCACGAAATCTAAAAAAAATGAGGATGTAATGAGCCACCTTAAACACTGTAGTAAAACTTTAGCAAGTAGTCTGAATGCTAGATGAAATGCGTTTACTAGATCAACGTTGTATTGTTCACTATAAACGAATGTTCCAAAATATCCGTGGCAGAATATTAGCTAAGACAGTAATAATTAAAAAAAACCTTAAATAGGCATTGTCGAGGTCTATACGGAGATTAGCGTCACTAGACAAGTAAATAGCTGCTATCGCCCGTGTCTGTATACTCTTTACTTATGGAGACCAATCACCTAGTACATCTTTTCTCACGTAATCTGACCCTTAACATTTTGGGATGTCTTCCGGTGAACACTGTTTAATTATGGTCTATTGTATCTATATTAAATTCAAATGTGGACATACATTGTACATAAAAATGGACCTACCAACTTTGCAAGTAAAATATTTAAAAGTGATTTATTTTTTTAAAAGCTGAAAATTAGCTGAACGGAGTAAGTAGCAAGATATATACTAAGACCCCTTTTTAACCCCTGATTGGTGGTGTTTCTCAAAGCGAGGCAATACTTTTGGCGCCCCCTCTAACTTCGATTTCTGGATCTGCGCCTGTTGTGGATTTAATTTCTAACAATTTTAATGAAAATGTTATCTGTATGCCCTTTGGTTTCTGCCATATTTCTCATTTCTATTTCTTTATCAGTTTATTCTTCATAATGCATATGATAACATAAGGAGTGATATTTTTAAATCACAAGAAAACATTGAGTTAGATAATGTAGTTCAAGTTTTTCATTGTATCAAGTCTAACAAAGGATGACTGCACTTAACGCTGTATTTTGGGTCTTTTTCGGTCGCTTCTGTTGCTTTCAAATCTTGATACATGTATAAGTTCACTTTTATACATTAACATATACTATATAATGGGCTGTCAATTAGACCCAATCTAAATGTTTAATATGATTTCAGACTATAATGCAATAACTTATTTTATGTTTTGTCCTTACAGTTTTTATAATACAGATCATTTACACTAACCTGCCCTTGATTGAACATTATATATAAATATCATTATTACAGTTTGTATATACGAGAGGCGGAGCTAACATATCGTAAGAATAAATTTAAATTTAACTGGATGAATAACAATGACATGTGTTAAAAATACGAGATCATTTTTTCCCATTTTCTTTTTTTAGCCAGGCTAAGCTGAAAGCAAAGTCCTGGCTCTAGGTATCATGATCGACTGTCTTATTTTAAATAGCACAGTAAATAAAGTTAATGATCAATATTTGTGCTTCAGAATTAAACTGAAAGAGAAATTAGATATTTGCTTATTGGGATAATGATGTGATATACCAATTTGTACACATACGCTGCTGAATGCACATTGTAAGGAATTTTTTTCATAAGCGCGGGCTTTCCGAAATGTTGAAATTGTTGAATAGTTTCATGTTTCATATCGTTTATGTCGATGTTGTAATAGTGGTTATATTATGTTTTGATTTTTAGCATATTATTAGTATAGCAAATTGGAATTTTAAGAATTAACATGCGTGAAGTCGCTTGACAATGTACATGTATTGATTGGTGTTTCTGCATGTAGTTGGCGATAAAAGTACTGTTTGTTGGAAACTAAAAGAATGTCTATGAAATAAACATGTGCATTATTCTAAATATTCCAAGACTGACTTAATAAGTTATGAGAAAAAATGCTTATTGAATAGAAATTATGCGAGAATTTCTTGGATATATTATGAATTGAATTTTAAAATCATAACATATATTGGAGTCTTGACTTTTTAAGCCCGGCTTTCAGTTCTTTCAATACTTTAATTATTCTGTATGGTACAAGTACATTATTATTACAACACTTTTAAACGTGTGAGCCCATCCATGTAAATAAAGAATATTTTAAATCGATGGCTGACTATTTAACGTGTTCGAACACAGTGTCCTAGTTAGATACAAACATGCTAAATACGAAATAAGTCATGCCCGAGGTAAGATATCACGTACATATTCAACGTGTCACACCCATGGTTACAACAGAGAGAGCGAGTGTAAGAAAAAGCACTTTTTTCTCATTTAAACCATGAGCGCATGTTTGTCTATTAATCTCTTTTTAACACAACATTGCTAAATCAAATATAAAACAACTGTTAAAAGGAGAACAATAGACAAACATGCGCTGACTAGGAATAAAGTCATTAAAAAAGTGGTCGTCCTCATTATCGTACAGTGACATAAGAACTTATGAGTGCCCCTGCCTCAGAAATCAGATTCATACATCGTAGATACATACCTTTATTTATTGTAATTAAATTAAGTTGTAGATTAGATGTTGACCATTCCTGCGATTAATAGAAAAATTACTGTTTTGAAAGTTTATTTTGACTCAATTTTCGCAGATTCTTAAGTGCAGTCATCCTTTTTGGGTGAAGTTCCCATTTTTAAAACCATTGCAAAAGTTTCAATTGCCGATAAAAATGGGTTTTGTTGTTGATTTTTTGATATGAAGTCATAGTTCAATGCCTGTTTTGGCTTAGTAAGTACTTTAAGGTAAAGATTAACAATTAATATGTTACGTTATGAAGAAAAACTTTCAAAGAAATACTTAACTATGAAATAGATAAATACTTCAAACTGCAAAAAATAGTTTGAATTCCATCCATTTTGAATTGCATTTTAACTTAAAGCTCTTATTTCAAACAAAACAAAGATATGGTATAATAAGAGTTTTTGCATGTATAATGCATTTAATGAAAGCTTTCATAACAATTATGTTGAATAAAGGGTTTTAGCCATTTGTTTCATAAAACTGTTTTAAAAGTCATATTTTTTCTGATGGTTGGAGAATTTAAATAAACATCAATTTAAATATACAATTGCTTTCATTTCTTAGTAATATCCGCATCAATAATATTGTAATTTAAACAAAATGCAAAAAAAAAGAATGTTTAAGTTTCACGCTCTTTATTTATTTAAATAAATCTAAACAAATTTAGAACACAGAGAAGATCTAGTAATGATTCTTATTAATATGAAAACAAGCTAATTCAGAAAATTTATGTACCCCGCTTTGGGAAAAAGAAGGCAATGCGCAGTTCGGGGGGGGGGGGGTGTCGGATTCCCCCTGACTGAATTTGTAGAATTATTAAAAATGTATACATGTATATTGAGGCATATGAAATATACCAATATGTAGATAAAGATTTGGTTGCTTATTCTTTATTATGTGTATAGAAGATTATTTTTATACATTCTTTTTATATAGAATATTTATAACTGTTATGATGATTTTATAAGTTGGTACAAGCCTGACTTCATAAATTTTTCATTTCACATGCTGAATACTATCATTTTGTTTAAAAATAATTAAAAAAAAAAAAGAAAATGGATCGCCCGGGATTCCAACACGGGACCTCTCACATATATGAAGCGAGAGACACACCATTACACCACGGTGCCGCTCTACCCTGGCGGAAATTATATGCAAAATTACATGTAGAGTCACATTCACATTCGATTTTGCCAACATTTTACACTATACATTGTGTCTAGTTTAGCCTTTATTTAACAGTTCTAATAGATTGAGTAAAATTTAAGTCCACCGACAATCTGTATCATACATGTAACTCTCCACATGCCCCTTTGCTAAAAATAGTACTAAGCGACATTTAATACAATAAATACTTGTAATGTTATTATGTCCCGCCCCGGGACACTTAACAAGAGGCCCAGGGGCCACAGCGCTCACCTGAGCACATCGGGCTTGAATGTACTCCCCCCCCCCTTCCAGGTGTTCATCATTTGAACAAACTAGAATCTACACTACCTGAGGATGATTCCATATAAATATATATCACTAATCATAGCTTTGAAGTACTTGAAAAGAAGATTTTAAAAGGTTTCCCTATATATCCCTATGTAAAACTTGGGTCGGCCATTTTGGCCCCACCCTAGCCCCATGGGTCATGATTTGAACAAACTTGAATTTGCACTACCTGAGGATGATTCCACATGAGTTACATCTTTCCTGGCTCAGTGGTTCTTGAGAAGGATTTTTAAAGATTTTTTCTATATATTCCTATGTTAAACTTGGGTCGGCCATTTTGGCCCCATCCTTGCCCCGAGGGTCATGATTTGAACAAACTTTAATCTACACTACTTGAGGATGATTCCACATGAGTTTCATCTTTCCTGACCCAGTGGTTCTGGAGAAGAGGATTTTTTAAAAAGATTTTTCCTAAATATTCCTATGTAAAACTTGGGTCGGTCATTTTGGCCCCACCCTTGCCCCGGGGGTCATGATTTGAACAAACTTGAATCTACAATACCTGAGGATGCTTCCACATGAGTTTCATCTTTCCTGGCTCAGTGGTTCTGGAGAAGAAGATTTTTAAAGATTTTTCCTATGTATTCCTATGTAAAACTTGGGTCGGCCATTTTGGCCCCACCCTTGCCACAGGGGTCATGATTTGAACAAACTTGAATCTACATTACCTGAGGATGCTTCCACATGAGTTTCATTTTTCCTGGCCCAGCGGTTATGGATAAGAAGATTTTTTTAAAAATGCATTTAATTTTTAACAAATTCATGATTATCTCCCCTTAGAAAAGGGCATGGCCCTTCATTTGAACAAACTAGAATCCCCTTTACCCAAGGATACTTTGTGCCAAGTTTGGTTGAAATTGGCCCGGTGATTCTTGAGACGAAGATGAAAATGTGAAAAGTTTACGACGACAACGACGACGACAACGACAGACGACGGACAAATTTTGATCAGAAAAGCTCACTTGAGCCTTCGGCTCAGGTGAGCTAAAAAGAGGTGAGAGAGGCCCTAGGAGTTTTGGTATAAAATGTCATTGCAAAAGCTCAAAATCTTCTTGAAATATCGCCTGGAAACAAAAGTGTTACACACAGACAGAATGTATAAATTTACGAACTTGAACTTTTTTTTTTGACCTCAAAATCAATAGAGGTCTTCCTTATGCCACAGGGAGTTGTTATGTAAAATTTCATTGGGAAATCTCAAAGGGTTCCTGAAATATCGAACGGAAACAAAAGTGTTCTTACAGGCAGAATTTATGAATTTATGACCTTGACCATTTGACCTCAAAATCAATATGGTTTTTCTTTAGGCCATATGGAGTTGCTATGCAAAATTTCATTGCAAAAGTCCAAAGAGTTCTCTACATATCATTTGGAAACATAAGCGTTACAGACAGACAGAAAGACGCACGGACGGACCCGAATTAATATCCTCCACTTTCAGTGAAAGCGGGGTACAATAAGCACATTATACAATATTCACATTTCTCATTTTTCTATCATTCTAGATATTTATGAAAAATAGAACGAATTGTAACGTTCATTCAGAGTGCATCTGGAATTTCAAATATCCTACTTTTACCTATTTATCTCTCAACTGGAACCTCTATCCGAAGAACTGCAAGCACTTAAAGTGTTTTTGATGAATTAAATATTTTAAATCAAAGCAACCTCAAATGTTTTTAAGTATATCATGTTCACATATTCATATCAATCAGGATACGGTACAGAATCTTACATAAATTAAAACGGTAACATGAAAAACTTCTATTTTCTGAATTTCAAACAGTGTAAAATATTTCTTTAATTTATAAACTCTTTACTTACAGATATCATAGATATGACTGACCACTAAATGTTTTCTCCTGTATTGTGGATATTCTGTTGTCGGATAGGTCTCTAGTGTAAATGTAGAGAAAAAAGATATAGGTAAGTACGTTGTTCAGGATAACATATTCAATATCTACCGAGAGAGAAAGAAAACTATTTCTGAATCTTTACATTTTAAAAAAGTTCACATTTGTTTGCTCGACTCATATTTAGGTTATTTTTCATAGACAATCTTAGTGTGACTGTCATCTTCTTTGAACTGTTAGATAAACAAACAGAACAATCAAATACTTAACCCGCACAATTAAAATAAGACTGAAATATAATAATTATTATTGTAGACTTAATTTCTAACAATATTTACGAGAATGCTATATGTATTTTTTTTATTTGCATTGATTCCTGCACCTTTTCTCATATCTATTTTCTTATCAATTTATACTGCATTTGGAATCTGATAACAATATTTATGATATTGTATAAAGTCTTACAAGTCTCACTTATTTGTAGTTTACTTTACCACTGGTTAATTCCATTGTTAAAAAATTGCAAAACTTTCCTTTGCCATAAGAAACAAGTTTTGTTGTTGATTATTTGATGGTGTCATCGTTCAATGCATGTGTTGGAGATTGTAAGTACTTCAGGGAAAGATTAACAATTAATTGTTTACGTAATGAGGAAAAACATAGTGTAGGATAACTAACTATGACATAAATAGGTATATACAGCTGTACTTTAAATTGAATAACTAAATTAAAAAAATTAAAGAAAAGTCAAAATAATGCTTATCATTATGGAAATATGCAGACAATTCATTTCTTATTTCTCCGATAATGTAGAGATATTAAAGAATAAACGTGTCACCATATTTCAATGTTAATCTTAAAATAAAAATTATACTCGTCAATGTATTCATCTCTAAATAGGAACCTCCATCTTAAGAACTTTAATTACTTTAAGTGTTTTAACGTATGTTATATCGTAAATGAAATAACTACCGTGATTAATGACATATTACGTTCACATCAAATCATATTACGTTCACATCAAATCACCACCAATAATTGATGAATTTTTTTGTTCACACATGTTATGTCTTAAGGATACCGTTCAGAACAATTATATTGTAGGAGTCAACACTTAACACTAAGGACTCAAAGAAAAAAACTTCTTAATGTTAAACAGTGATACAACAATTCTTTAATCAATTCACATTAAATTAAAACATCTTTTTATAAATGTACATAAATTGTAGATATGACAGACCACTAAATGCATTCTCCTGCATTGTATATGTTGTTGCAGAAAAGGTATCTAGTGTAAATGTAGAGGCAGAAGACACCGGTAATAACTGGATATATAGATAAATACTGGATAGCATATACAAAATCTACCTAGAGAGAAACAAAACTAGAGGGAAAAAGATAAAGGTAATCACTGGATATATGGATATACACTGAATAAAGAACTAATATTCAATATCTAACTAGCGGGAATCAAAACTATTTTTGACTTTCATTTTGAAATGTTCAGATCTGTTTGCACGATTCTCAATTTTAGGTTCTTTTCAATGGAAAAACTTAGTGTTAATGTCATCTTCTTTCATTTGTTTAATAAACGAAAAGAAAGATAAAAAAAACTTAGCCCACACAAAAAAGACGAGAAATGCAAAAATATAGATATGATAATCTTGGATTTAATTTCCTACAATATTTACAATAAGTTATCTGTGTACTTTATTTTTCTCAATTATATTTTCATTATCCGTATTTTCTGAATTACGAATATAAAAACATTAGGTTTGACTTTTTAAAATCTAATACATTGAAATAAATAACGTGCTCCAAGTTTTGTATGTATCAAGTCTTATTAATTTGTACAAAAAGTGGCCATTGTAAAATTTTTTTTGAAACCATAACAAAAGTTTCGATTGCCGATGAAACACATTTTATTGTTGGTTTTTTGATGACGTTATTATTCAATGCATATTTTCTGCATTGTAGGTACATCAATGTAAAATCTTACAATTGATTGTTTTACATTACATTTTGTAATATTTTAAATCGAGTCATTAGCTTTATTGATGCTGACATATTTATGTCATTTAAGATACTGTTCAGAATATTGTTGGAATCAAAACTCAAGAAGAAGTACTCAAACGAGAAATTGCTGACGCTTAAACGGTGATAAATAATTCTTTAATCGATTCACGAGAACTAGCTTTGACATAAATACATATAAATAAAACTTCAACCTGAATAATCAAATTGAAAAAGTAAAGAAAAGTCTTAATGATACTTATTATTATTGAACTAAGCACACAATTCAATTCCCATTTCTCCGATAATGTAGAGATATAAAGAAGAGCACGTGTCGCCATCTTTCAATGAGCAACTTTTAATGTATGTGATATTTTAAATCAAATCACAACCATAATTGATGAAGTATTATGTTCATATATTTATGTCTTTAAGGATACTGTTCAGAATATTGTAGGAAACAAAACTAAACAAAGAAGAACTCAAGCGAAGAATTTCTGAATTTTAAACAGTGATACATGTAAAATAATTCTTTAATCGATTTGAGTTAAGTTAGAACTTCTATACTTACAGACGCAGTAGACTTGACAGACCACTAAATGTATTCTCCTGTATTCTGGTTAAGTAGTTGCCGGAGAGGAATCTAGTGTACATGTAGACAAAAACACAGGTAATAACTGGATAACTAGATACACTGGATAAAATATTCAATATCTACCTGGAGAGAAACAGCAATATTTTGACTCTATACATTTTGAAAAGTTCAGATTTGTTCGCTAGATTCCTAATTTTAGTTTCTTTTTCAATGTAAAACTTAGCGAAAGTATCATTTTCTTTCATCTCTTTGACAAAAAAAGAAGGACCAAGGACTTTCCTCACGAGAAAAGACGACCAAGACAAAGACTGAAATATAATTATTCTGGTTATAATTTCAAACAATTTTTACGATACTTTTATCTGTATGCCTTTTATTTCCTGCGCCTTTTCTCAGATCAATTTTCTTAAAAAAGACCACAAGACAAAGCCTAAAATGTGATAATTGTGGATTACATTTCTAACAATATCTACGACAATGTTATTTATTATACCTCTACTGTAATTACTCTTTATAAAATTAATACCATAAAACTGTCTATTTCCCCGAGAAAAGACTACTATCTTCACCTGAAGACTACTCCCTGGAAAATTAGAGCTACTCCCTGGGACAACTCCCTCATGAATATTAATTAGTAATTTTAGCCAATCAAAATGTTCAGTGGGCGGAGCGTTCAAGGAATCTCGAGTCTGTGACGTCAATGTAACTATGACGTCAAAACATTTCGACATGCGATCTCTAAAGAATACAATTATAATTCTTCAAAATGTCACTGAAAATGCTATTTAAAAAATAATTTAATTGTTTTAGGACACAATGCATTACTTATCATACAATCTGTTAAACCGCATGCATTTGTAATTAATCCTCTACAGTTTTAAATTGTCGGAATATCTGGTAAAAACAAATTTTAAAAACGCCTATAATTGTTTCGGTATAATAAAACAGTTACTTAATTGGAACTCGACAAATAGCAAAATTATGGTTCCCCTTGGCAGGAAACTATTTCTCTCGGCGGCTTCGCCGCCTCAGGAAATAGTTCCCCCCGGAGAACCATAAAGAATGGGTGGACTTAACGCCCTATTTTGGATCTTTTTGTGACTCCTCTACCAAGCTGTAAATGAAGTGAATTCAAAATATATTACGAGGAATGGAAAGAGCTACATACACTTGGTTATATTAGGTGGAACATTTGTGCAAAAACAATGTCATGTTGTCATGTTGTCATGTATCAAAACTTAAGCAATGATACATGAGTATCGTCTTCCGGAATTCGACATGTACCGGGGTGGTTTTTATGTCACACAATCAATATTTATAGGAGGCGGGGTTATCGATCCACGTCATTGTTGAAATCTCTCTCTATCCCCCTCTCTCTCTCTCTCTCCAAAAATTTGAATACGTGTTAAGCATATTACAGTGATGTCATCATTTTAAAAATGTGATGACACGCAAAATTAAAACAATATTTACTTTGCTAAATTCTGAAAAAGGCAACAAAACACGCTCAAAAACATAATTGAGATCGAGGTCAGGTTGAAGAATACAAAGTAACTGTTTTCACAAGTACATTCGCAGGTGGACATCACGTGATGAACTGTAATTTTAAACAGGTCAATCGAAGACATAACAATGGAAGCGAGAAGTTTCTTTCGAACATGTTTTTTGTTAAATTAAGTGTGAGCACACGTTTGTCGGCTCTTCTCCTTTTAAGGTCAAGATCTAGTAAATGTCTTTAGACTAACTTTTTCATGCTAAATCCATTATGACGTCATAATCACTTTCAACTCTCTTTTTCCCGTAATTTACGGCTCTAATAGAATTATGTAGAAAATAAAGTATTTTCAGGGAATTCATTTGAAATAACATGAAAAGTAGTCCGGATACCTATATTAAATTTGGCATTATTTTAAAGAGGAGGCAAAGAACATACATATTACCGTTTTCTAAGATACTGTAGGCTATCTGGATACATTTTCTTTGTCTGATATGGAAAAACGTCTCATATTCATAACGGGATTTCTTAATTTTTCATTGAAAATGACAGTATAAATTATGATTTTTCATCTTGTTTGCCTACAAATTATGCCCCGAAAGACCTTATTAGACCACGCTAAACTTATAAGGCATCATTAAATGAATTTATTCCTCAAATTTGAGGAATCTGTAGGCATCTTTCATTTACTAGATCTTGACCTTAATATAACATTATTTGTTCAATATACAACTACAGTTTATTTAAGAACAGCCGACAAACATGTGCTGACTATGTATTCAGACGGTGAAAAACGCGTGACCTTGATTATCTATTGATATTCAAGAAAACTTCAGACACCATGCCTTCGATATTTATTTAGTTTACCTCGAAAAAAAAAGCGTTTTAAATTCACATCCATATCATGAATACACGGTTAAGATATCAGGGGTTTATATGATGAAAAAAATAAACATTTTGTGAAACTTAAATTTCCGGCATTTTTTTGGCCAGTTAAGTACATCCATTCTTTGCTGTTTCCCTAGTACCCATTCCATAACTGCATACTGTAGCCCTTTGTTTCCTGCGCCTTTTCTCATATCTATTTTTTATCACTTTATCCTGCATTAAGAATCTGTTAAAGTACTAATTATAAACTATGAAATTTCTAAATAATAAAAATTCACTGAATTAGATAATGTAGTCCAAGTTTTGATTTCCATGAAGTCTAGGTTATTTGAAGTTTACATTAACCACAAATGTTAAATCCATTGTTAAACATATTACAAAACTTTCCATTGCTGATAAAAATGACTCATTGTTGCTTTTTTGATGGTTTAATCGTTCAATGCATGTTTCTGAGATTGTATGAACTTCAGGGAAAAGCTTAACAATTATTATTTTTTTTATGTTATGAAAGAAAAAAAATAGAATGACTAACTTTGACATATATACATGGAAATGAATACTTCAAACTCAATAAATAAATTGAAAAAAAAATAAAGGAGAATCTTAATGATACTTATTATTATTGAAATAAGCACACAATTCATTTCTCATATCTCCGATAATGTAGCGATATTAAAGAAGAAACATGTGTCGTCATCTTTCAATGTGCATCTTGGATTTAAAATTATCCTACGTCTACGTACTTATCTCTCAATGTTCAGGAATCCTTATGAAAAGAACTGAAGTGTAAGTTCTAACGTGTGTAACATTTTAAATCAAATCACTACTGAAAATGATGAAGTATTTTGTATACATATCTATGTTTTTAAGATATTATTCAGAATATTGTGGGAATCAAAACTTAACATGAAGAACTCAAACGGGAAATTTCTGAATATTAAACAGTGATAAAATAATTCTATAATCAATTCACAGTCAGTGAGAACTTCTATACTTACAGATCCAGTAGACCTGACAGACCACTAAATATATTCTCCTGTATTGTGGTTATTCTGTTGCCGGATAGGCCTCTAGTGTAATTGTAGAGAAAAAAGACAAAGGTAATAACTGGATATATAGATAAACACAGTTTAAAATATTCAATACTACCTGGAGAGACACAGCATTATTTTGACTCTATACATTTTGAAAAGTTCAAATTCCCTATTTTGGGTACTTTTTCAATGGAAATTCTTAGTGTGGCTGTCATCTTCTTTTGCTCTTTGATAAGAAGAAGAATTTTCTCACACAAAAAAGACAACAAAAATTGAAATGTAATAATTATGGATTAAATTTCTAACAATTTGTACAATAGTGTTATCTGTCGCCCTTTGTTTCCTGTGCCTTTTCTCATATCTATTTTCTTATCACTTTATCCTGCATTAAGAATTTGCTAAAGTAAACTATGATATTTTTAAATAATAAAAATACATTGAATTAGATAATGTAGTCCAAGTTTTGCATTGTATCAAGTCTAGGTTATTTGGAGTTTACGTTAACCATAAATGTTAAATCCCTTGTTAAACATATTGCAAAACTTTCCATTGCTGATAAAAATGACTCATTGTTGCTTAATTGATGGTTTAATCGTTCAATGCATGTTTTTGAGGTTGTATGAACTTCAGGGAAAAGCTTAAGGAGGCTGGAGGGTCAACAAATTAATCCCAAATTAACCACCAGATTTAACTTATTTTTTTACATACGGTATCTTTAGCTGTCAACTATCATTTGACAAAGAAAAAATTCATATATTTTAGTTTCAAAATTTGATCATTTTGTATATCTTTATATGGAGCTCTCCTTTTAAAGGAGATTGAAATAGTCTAAAAATGGCTGCCACCCCCTAGTCTCGTTAACAATGAAGAAAAAAATTGAAATTACTAACTTTGACATAAATACATGGAAATGAATTCTTCAAACTCAATAATTAAATTGAAAAAAAATAAAGGAGAATCTTAATGATACTTATTATAATTGAAATAAGCACACAATTCATTTCTCATATCTCCGATAATGTAGCGATATTAAAGAAGAAACATGTGTCGCCATCTTCAGGGTTCACCATAATTTGAAATTTTACTGTGTTGCACAGTTTACGCGAAGCACTAAAATTTCGAGGCATTTTCGCGATCAAATTCGCAACTGAATCACTATTCATTATAATTACAAAAGAATACATCACACACTTCTTTTAAACATTGCTAAATAGGTGCACAAATAGTATGGTCGTACATATTGATAAATGTATGTTCTGAAAAACAGAGGAAATTCTGGTCGATACAGTCGAACTATTTACCATTTTGAAAGTAAATTTGCCGTGATTTTTGTCAGTTTTCTTGATCGGATGAAATTATTATCGAATTACAAAAAAAGAAGCTTCAGAATAGTTGAATACTTTTATGAGGTCCTTGAAAAATTAAAACAATTTATTTACATCAATTAATTGATTTCGGTACGATGGTTATTTATAGTTATGTTTGACTTACCGAGGTACCAACATAATTCTAGAGCCTCGGATCTATAGAAAAAACATATTGTTTAAAAAAATAGTAAAATGTATTTTAATGCAACTACCAATTAACCGTTATATAGAAGTGTGAAAACAAATTATTTGTCTTTGTTCCTTCATGCGTAAAGGTACTTGGACACAGATTTGAAGTTAATATTTTCTGTTTTTTCTCTATAATATTACGAAGTATATATTTTAATAGCATTTCACACAAAAATTACTTAAAAATCTTATTTCATTTAAAAGTTATTAAAACTTTAAATTTGTTGGCGGGTTTGATTGACACATCCTTACACTTTCACAAATTTTAATTTTACTCTTAATACTTAGGAAAGTGGCAATCTTGTTGTGTATGAATGCAAAATATTGATACTATAATTCATAAAATTTTGTAGACATGTTTGAAAGCAAAACAAACACACAATATATTCTCAGTCCGTGCAGTTGTGGTAAGCAGACTGTGACGATTCAGAACGCACCCGGTGAAATCTAAACATAAATAAAAACAGAGCTCGTGCCTTGTTTACAAAAACTGTGTACATAACACGAGTGTGATCGATTTGCACACACGACTTAGCTCGGAACGACGATACTTGTGAAGATGTTTTGTTTTCTAACATTTCTACTCTGAAAAAAATTATTTTTCTGGATTAAAGTTTTAATATTTCTCATTAATACACAACAAGATTGCCACTTTTCTGAGGGATTAAGAATAAAGTTAAATATGTGAAAGTGCCAGGATGAGTCAATCAAACCCGCCAAAAAATTTGAAGTTTTAATAACTTTTAAATGAAATAAGATTTTGAATTAATTTTTGTGTGAAATGCTATTAGAATATATAATTCGTGATATTATGGAGAAAATATTAACTTCAAATCTGTGTCACGTGTTTTGACCAAGGAATCCACCTGGCAATTGTATTCACCGATAGTACAACAAAGGAATTAATACAGACGCAAGTCGCTTTTGCGGTATGACTTTTAGAAGCCCAGACTTCCGCCGTTTATTTAACAAATGAATTGTTTGTCATTGTGAGCATGAAAATAATATAGAATTTTTAAAAAATGCTTTTCATTTACCATAAGATTTTCCTTTTTTTCAACCGTAAAATTCCTGTAATATTCGTAGTAACCCATAATGCAATACTCATTCAGCTGATTGGTCAGTTAAAATCATGCTGGTGCCTCATTTGCTAATCTGACGCAAAAAAATATAGTCCCGGTTCCCATGCAAAATATTTGCCCATAAAGAAAAATAAAATTTTAATTCATGACTGCAGAAAATTGTATTATAAAGAATACTTATTCAAGTTTAATGAATGTAAAAGAGATCGATTGATTGAAGTATATTTCTACAGATATTAACAGCTGATTCCAGGGGGGGGGGGAGTGAAAACTGAAACGCAACATAACTTTTCTGTTTACCGTGCCTCCACGTGCTAGTCACTTCCTAACCACATTTCCGTGAATAATTTACCTTATCTCGCTGAAGTTTCGCTAACTCTCGCCAGAGCCACTGTCAGAGCTACTCTGAACTCATCGGGTTTTATAATTAACAGGACACCGAAAAATAAAAGGTTCCGAACACATTAGTAGGGGTGCTACGTTTACGTATTTATCTCTCAATGGACTTTTACGAGAAGCACTGACTTTTACAGTTTACTGTTTACCTGGACCTTTAAACCTGTATCATCTACGGAAGTACAGAATTGATAATGGATAAGACAACCTTTCTAGTGGTCATAGTAATGGTGTTAGGGGCCCTTATATGTGAAGGCCTGGATTTGAGGGTAGGATGATTGTCGTTTGCTTCAAGGGCAACTTATCTGTGCTTTGAAATAGCCCGTTGTTCTCGTTGAATTAAAGGTTGCGCTAAATATTTATATCGTATTTATATCGTAAAAGAGGTTCCATACACTGTCCAAGTGTGATAGTAATTCGTCAACTGTAAAAGTCAGCGCTTCTCGTAAAAGTCCAGTAGGACTTTTGCGAAGATACTGACCTTTACAGTTGACGGCTCACTTTTACACCAGGAAAATATATGGGAGCTATTGTGTGAAAAATATTGATCTTAACATTTAATAAAACGATAATAACAGGCTATTTTAAAGATCATATTGCGTTTTCTAGGAAGGAAACGTACATTCCTACCCTCAAGACCATTCTTTTTAGTCTTGACTAACTCCTGTCAATTTTTTCTTCCTAAATGTGACTTCTTTATTACATTTCTTAAGTTATTGAAAATAAAAAGGATATATAAATTCTCGTGAAAAAAAAGTATATAAATAAATGTTGTTTCACAACCAATTATATAATTTGCTTGCAAAAGTTATTTTAAAGCCCCGAATACAATAACTTCTACTTCAATGGATGTTTTCTTATCCATTTTCAATTCTGTACCTCCGTACATGACGCAGGTTTAAATGTCCAAGTAAGCCAACGACTGTAAAAGTCAGTGTCTTCGCAAAAGCCCATAAAGAGATACATTTACGTGAAGTGCTCTAATTATAATGTGTGTAACATTTTAAATCAAATCACTACTGAAAATGATGAAGTATTTTGTTTACATATCTATGTTTTTAAGATTGTTCAGAATATTGTGGGAATCAAAACTTAACATGAAGAACTCAAACGAGAAATTTCTGAATATTAAACAGTGATAAAATAATCCTTTAATCGATTTACAGTCAGTGAGAACTTCTATACTTACAGATCCAGTAGACGTGACAGACCACTAAATGCATTCTTTTGTATTGTGGTTATGTTGTTGTCGGTGATGAGTCTAGTGTAAATGTAGACAAAAGAGACAAAGGTTATAACTGGATATGTAGATAAACACAGTATAAATATTCAACAAACAGCATTATTTTGACTCTATACATTTTGAAAAGTTCAGATTTGTTTGCTAGATTCCCAATTTTAGGTTCTTTTCAAAAGAAAATCTTAGTGTGGCTCTCATCTTCTCTCATCTCTTTGATAAAAAGAAGGATCATTGTCGATAAAAAGGACTTGTTGTTAATTATTTGATGACATCATTGTTCAGTGCATGCTTTTGAGATAATAAGAATTTCATGGAAAAGATAATCAATTTTTTATGTTATGAAGAAAAACTTGGAATAACTAACTTTGACATAAATACATGTAAATGAAAACTTGAAATTGAATAATTAAATTGAAAACGAAGTTAAGAATATTCTTAATAATACTTATTATAGTATTGAAATAAGCACATAATTCATTTGTCATTTCTCCTATAATGTAGCGATATTAAAAAAGAAACATGTGTCGCGATCTTTCAATATGCATCCTCGATGTAAAATTATCCTACGTCTACGTAATTATCTCTCAAATGAGTTTTATGAAGAGACTTAATTTTACATTCGACAGCTGACTTTTACATTGTACATTGTAGTTATTGGAGATTGTCTCCGTTAAATTGTAGAACTCAGTTGTCGATTGTAAAAGTAAGTCTCGTCATAAAACTCCAATAGGTAGACCTTTCACAAGGAAATACATTTACTTGAAGTGTTCTAACGTGTATAACTTTTCAAATCAAATCACTACTGAAAATGATGAAGTATTTTGTTTACATACATGTATCTATGTTTTAAGATAATGTTCAGAATATTGTGGGAATCAAAACTTAAAATGAAGAACTCAAACGAGAAATTCCTGAATATTAACAGTGATGAAATAATTCTTTAATCGATTTGAGTTAAGTTAGAACTTCTATACTTACAGACTCAGTAGTCTTGACAGACCACTAAATGTATTCTCCTGTATTGTGGTTATGCTGTTGCTGGATAGTTCTCTAGTGCAAATGTAGACAAAAACAAAGGTAATAACTAGATACGTAGACAAACACTAGATAAAATATTCATTATCTACCTGGAGAGAAACAGCCTTATTTTGACTCTATACATTTTCAGATTTGTTTGCTAGATACGGCAACAACAACATCTACGACAACGACGACAGAGGACGGAAAAATTTGACCAGAAAAGCTTACTGGAGCCTTCGGCTCAGGTGAGCTAAAAAGTGAAGAAGAGTCTTAATGATACTCATTATTATTTTAAAAAAGACATAAATGAAGGATTTGGAGACAACGAACATTATTCAATCTTAAAGTCCATTAAACAATACAAAATAGGAGAAGAGCAAACACGAACCTCCGAAAATCAGAGGTGGGATCAGGTGCCATGGAGGAGTGAGCATCCCCTGCCGACCGGTCACACCCGCCGTGTGCTCCTTGTCATGATCAGGAAATAACGGAAAAAATCCGTCGTCAATTCAGTGTATAAATAATGGACTAACAATTGGTATGAAAAACGTCAGTCAGCATTTGACTCAATGATAAATTGTATTTGCTGACAAGGTCATTGTATCGACCATGGAACTTACGAAAGGATGACTTTAAACAAGACTTACCATATACTTGTTCATCAACCTGTTTGTCAATAATTTACCTCGTTTTAGAAATTGTTCATTCGTAGAGTATGCTCTTGTGTATCGATTTATATGAGGTAAATATACTCCGTATGCAGATGATGAAGGTATATTGCTACATAAGTAAGGGAAGTTGACGATGGAAAACTTAAATTCATTATGTTTACCATAAAGCTTGCTTGTTAGATTACCATTAGTGTTTTTTTTTCCAAGTAAAATATCCAAGTATGAAACAGAAGTGTCGGACTCTTTGGTATCTTTTATCTCAAGCTCAACAGGATATATCTTATCGGCGTAGGAATGGAAATAACCATAATTTATTGACAATACATCGTCAATATATCTAAATACAGAGCTGAAGGCCACAGCAAGTGTTTTCTTCTTTTCATTCATAAGAGTTTGCATAAATTCTGCTTCATATGAATATAAAAATAAGTCTGCTAATAAGGAGCGCAATTTGTACCCATGGGAATTCCAATAGATTGTTGGAATACCTGGTCTCCAAAAACCACATAGATATTGTCAATCAGAAACTCAAGCATCTTTTTGATGTCAACTGCAGAGTACTTATGTGTGCTATCAGAATCTTTTTTAACAAAATAATTTTGCAAATGACCAATAACGAAGTAAATAAATTTACGAGTTCCATTTTTATTGAAGAAGCAGCTGTCAATGATATCAAAAAGCCTGGATTTTAATTTTTCGTGGGAAGTTGTTGTGTATAAAGTTGAAAAGTCACAATTCATTTCTCCGATAAAGTAGCGATATTAAAGAAGAACATCTTTCGTCATCTTTCGATGTGAATCTTATATTTAGAATTATGTTACTTCTACGTATTCATTTCTCACTAGGAATCCCCGTAACAAGGAAATACATTTGCGTAAAGTGTTCAAACGTGTTTAACATTTTAAATCAAATCACTACCGAAAATGATGAAGTATTTTGTTTAGATATCTATGTTTTTAAGATACATGTACTAAAATTGTGGGAATTAAAAAAAACTTAACATGAGGATCTCTCGAACGCAAACGAGAATTTTCTGAATATTTAGCAGTGATAAAATCATTCACTAATAGATTTAAATGAAGTTAGAAGTCTAATACTTACAGACGCAGTAGACTTGACAGACCATTAAATGCATTCTCCTGTATTGTAGTTATGTTGTTGTTGGACAGGTCTCTGGTGAAGATGTAGAGAAAAATGACAAAAGTAATAATTGGATAACTAGACAAACACTGGAAAAAATTGTTAATATCTACCTGAAGAGAAACAGCAATATTTTGACTCTTTGCAATTTGAAAAGTTCAGATTTGTTTGCTAGAACCCAATTTTAGTTTCTTTTCAATGGAAAATCTTAGTGTCATGTTCTTTCACTCTCTTTGATAAAAAATAGGATCAAGGACTTTACACACACACACACACAAATGACAAAGACAAAGTCGGAAATATAATAATTGTACATTTAATTAAGGTCTTTCATCTTAGGCGGAATACCTTATTGTTTTTCTTTTCCACTATTTTTCTTCTTCTGGTTTTTTTTCTTACCGATTTTGTGCACGCAAGTTCTCGAAAACGGCTAGATGGATTTTCATGAAACTTTCAGGTCTGATAGAACATCAAAAAATCAAAAAGCGAATATTTTTATTTTGTTGACGTCACTTCCGATTGGGAGAGTTTCGCGATTTTGTCATTTTTAGAGGGTCACTTCGTGGGGTAATGTTCTCAAAATCCGTTGAAGATAGAAGTATGAAATTTTCAGTGATTATAGAGCAACCTTTGGAGAAGTGAATTAAATATATCATTGTCACCGGAAGTACGAAGCGCCGACGCTCGCTATGGCCCGAAAATTGTTCTACTGTGAATTTCAAAATTTCTAACACCTTTTCTACGATATCTTTTTATTTAGAAATATTTTGTAGAAACATAAAAAAACAAAAATTTTGAAGAATCCTGAGATCTTTCAAATAAAATCTTCAAAAAAGGGCTGACCCCTAAAATAAGGGATCTAGATGGGCCAAGTTTTTTCTTGATATCTCAGAATTTGTAATACATTAAATAAACAAAGTTGTTCAAAATGTCAAGTAAAATCTATTGAAATCGTCAAAATACGTCCGATGATGTAACTTCCGGCCAAACCGGAAGTAGTCAAAATTGCATATTTTAGCCCTTTTGACACATTTTTGGGTAATGTATGTCACTTGAAGCTTAAAACGTGATTTTCTATCCATCGGCAGCACTTCCGGTCAAATTGGAATTAGCAAAAAAGCTTACTTTTGCAATAATCAACGTAGATTTAGAGGATTTAAATCAGCGGAGACGCCATTACTCTTTAAAAAAACAATCGTTACTTCCGGTCAAACAGGACGGAAGACCTACTCTTTGCTTTGCTCTAGTTTCTAACTATATTTACAATAATTATCTGTATGCCCTTTGATTCCTTTGCCTTTTCTCATATTTTTTTTTCTAATTTGTCTTTTTTGCATTACGAGTTTGCTAACCTGAAGGTGGACATTTTCAAATAATGAAAATCGTTGAATTAGATAATGTAGTCCAAGGTTTTTGCATTGTATCAAGTCTAACTTATTTGTAGTTTACTTTAACCATAAGTGTAAAATCCATTGCTAGACTTTCCATTGCCAATAAAAATTACTTGTTGTTGAGTCTTTGATCTGATGACGACGTCATAGTTCAATGCATGTTTTTGAGATTGTAAGAGCGTCAAGAAAAAGCTTAACAAATAATTTTGTTATGTTATGAAGAAAAACAATATTAAAGAAGAAACGTGTGTTGCCATCTTTCAAAGTGCTTCTTGGATTTAAATTTATCCCACGTTTACGTACATGTATTCATCTCTCAATAGACCCTTTTCATGTGACAGATTACTAAGAGTTATTCCCCTTCGCCGCCATCTTGTAAGGCAAAGTAGTAAATTTACCTGTCTGGGCAACCAATTTTAAACATGCATGCAAGAAATATATGGGAAAAATATTCACAATCTTATAATCATGAATTAATAGAGGCTTAAACAAACGTACAAGGGTTGTCCAAAAAGTTTGTGGACAATGACGTTTTGTCAAAATAAACGGTTCTATATGCATCTATTATATATCAAAATATTTCTTATGAAAAACCAAGTCAGAATAATTTAATTTTTAATTAGGAAACTTAATATTTTTGTAAAAATCTGGGTCTTTAAAGATCGTTTGTGCGCACGAACCAGTCTGACGTTCAGCTAATTTCATTATAACGTCTAACATTTGGATTTTGACTTAACACATGTTCATGGACACACACTTCATTTCTTTTTTAAGACATAACGCACTCCCAAATGGCAGCAATAACCTTTAGCATAGATAATAATTTATTTAATTATCAAAATTCAAAACAATGCAAAAAAATTTACGAGCGTCATCTAAATAACGCTATTACGTTCCATCAATAAAAATTAAATCATTCTGATTTGTTTTCATAGAAAATATTTTGATATACAAAAGATGTATATTGAACCATTTTTTTCTTCACAAAAACGTCATTATCCACAAACCTTTTGGACAACTCTCGTATATACATAAAAATAATAGCAGTATCTTTACCTCAGTAACCAGTATAACAAAATGAACTTGGTTGAATAATACAGGGATCTTGGAATGTTGCAGTACAATATAGCGGCTAAGGTGAATAACTCCTAGACAAAATATGTTATAGGAAAAGGGTCTATAGGAACCTCTATAATAAGGAAATACATTTGCGTAAAGTGTTGTAACGTGCGTAATATTTTAAATCAAATCACTACTGAAAATGATGAAGTATTTTGTTAACATATCTATGTTTTTAAGATACTGTTCAGAATATTGTGAAAAACTTAACATGAGGAACGCAAATGAAGAATTTTTTAATATACAACAGTGATAAAATAATTCTTTAATCAATTTAAATTCAGTCAGAACTTCTATACTTACAGACGCAGTAGACTTGACAGACCACTAAATGTATTCTCCTGTATTCTGGTTAAGTAGTTGCCGGAGAGGAATCTAGTGTACATGTAGACAAAAACACAGGTAATAACTGGATAACTAGATACACTGGATAAAATATTCAATATCTACCTGGAGAGAAACAGCAATATTTTGACTCTATACATTTTGAAAAGTTCAGATTTGTTTGCTAGATTCCCAAATTTTAGTTTCTTTTCAATGGAAAATCTTAGTGTGGCTGTCATCTTCTTTCATCTCTTTGATAAAAAGAGGGATCAAGGACTTTACCCACAGAAAAAGACGACAAAAACAAAGACTTAAATATAATAATTGTGTGAGTTTAATTTCTTACAATATTTACGATAATGTTATCTGTATGCCTTTTCTGCTCCTTTTCCCAGATCTATTTTCATATCAGTTATTTTGCATTAGAAATTTGCTAATATAAAGTATGACATTTCTAAAATAATAAAAATACATTGAATTAGATAAAGTAGTTCAAGTTTTGCATTGTATAAAGTCTAACTTATTTGTAGTTTACTTTAACCATAATTGTTAAATCCATTGTTAAACATATTACAAAACTTTCCATTGCCGATAAAAATGACTTGTTGTTGATGATTTGATAACGCAATCGTTCAATGCATGTTTTTGAGATTGTAAGAACTTCGGAGAAAAGCTTAACAATCTATTTTTATGTTACGAAGAAAAACTTGGAATAACTAACTTTGACATTGGTACATGAACATGTAAATGAATACATCAAATTGAATAATCAAATTGAAAAAAAGTAAGAAGGTTCTTAATGATAGTTATTATTATTGAAATAAGCATACAATTCATTTCTCATATCTCCGATAATGTTGCGATATTAAAGAAGAAAAATATGTCGCAATATTTCAATGTGTCCAAAAGGATTTAAAATTATCCTACGTCTACGTATTTATCTCTCAATAGGAATCCCTATTATAAGGAACTCATTTATGTGAAGTGTTCTGACGTGTGTAATATTTTAAATCAAATCACTAGTGATAATGATGGAGTATTTTGCACACATATCTATGTTTTTTAAAAACAGTTTAGAATATCTTGGGAAACAAAACTTAACATGAAGAACTCAAACGAAGAATTTCTGAATCTTAAACAGTGATGAAATTATTCTTCAATCGATTTAAATTAAGTTAAAACTTCTATACTCACAGATACTTTAGACTTAACAGACCACTAAATATGACATTTTTGAATAATAAAAATACCTTGAATTAGATGAATGTACTTTATTGACGTCATTGTGCTATGCATGCTTTTGAGATTATAAGATATTCAGGAAAAAGCTTAACAATTAATCATTTTATGTTATGAAGAAAAACCTAGAATAACTAAGTTTGACATAAAAACGTGTAAATGAATATTCCAAACTGAATGATAAATTGAAAACAGATTAAAAAAGATTCTGAATTATACTTATTATTATTGAAATGAGCAGACAATTCATTTATCATTTCTCTGATAATGAAGCAATATTAAGGATTCCGAACAAACATGTGTCGCCATCTTTCAATATGCATCTTTGATTTCAAATTATCCTACGTCTACGTATTTATCTTTCAATAGTAACCCGTATAATAAGGAAATACATTTACGTAACTAATTAAATTTACGTAAATTAATCTAACGTGCGTAATATTTTAAATCAAATCAATACTGAAAATGATGAAGTATTTTGTTAACATATCTATGTTTTTAAGATACTGTTCAGAATATTGTGGGAAACAAAACTTAACATGAAGAACTCAAACGAGGAATTTCTGAATTTAAACAGTGAGAATATAATTCTTTAATCGATTTAAATTCAGTCAGAACCTCTATACTTACAGACGCAGTAGACTTGACAAACCACTAAATGTATTCTCGTGAATTGTAGTTAAGCTGTTGACGGATAGGTCCCTAATGTAAATGTAGATAAAAGACACAGGTTATAACTGGATAACTAGACAAATCCTGGATAAAACATTTAATATCTACCTGGAGAGAAATAGTATTATTTTGATTCTATTCTAAAGTTCAGATTTGTTTGTTGGATTCCCTATTTTATCTAGGAATATCTATCAATGTACATCTTGGATTTAAAATTATTCTACGTCTACGTATTTATATCTCAATAGGAATCTCTTTCCTAAGAATTACAATTACTTTAAGTGTTCTAACGTATGTCATATTTTAAATCAAATCACTACCGTAAATAATGTGGTATTATATTGATGTTCACATATTCATATTTTTATGAATCAAAAATTAACAAGAACAAGAACTCAAAAAAGGAATTTCTAAATTTTAAAGGGCGGTAAAATATTTCTTTAATAAATTCACATTCAGTGAGAATTTCTATACTTACAGGTACAGTAGACGTGACTGACCACTAAATGCATTCTCCTGTATTGTGGTTATGCTGTTGCCGGAAAGGTCTCTATTGCAAATGTAGAGAAAAAAGACAAAGATAATAACTTGAAAATTAAATGAAACACTGGATAAAATACTCAATATCTACCTGCAAAGAAAGCACAAAATCTATTTTTGACTATATAGAATTTGAAAAGTACAAATTTGTTCGCTAGATTCCCAATTTCCGTTACTAGTATTTTAAAAGTGGAAAATCATAGTATGACTGTCACCTTCTTTCGTCTATTGAATAAACAAACAGAGGGATCGAATTCTTAATCCACACAAAAAAAATCAAAGATGATACATTCATAATGATTGTGGATTTAATTTCTAATATTGAAGATTATGCTATCTGTATGCCTTTTGGTTTCCATCATTTTTCTCATTTTTATTTCTTTATAAATTAATGCTGCACTTTTAATCTGATAACATAACGTATGTCATTTTTGAATTAATAAAAAATTGAATTAGGTCATGTACATGAATTTCAAGTTTTTCATGGTGTCAAGTCTTAAAAAATTGTAGAAAAAGTTACCATTGTTAAATGCATTGTTGAATCCATTCCGGATAAATTTGATGACGTTATCGTTTAATGCATGTTTTTGTTCCCTGCTTTCGCGAAAGCGAGGGAACTTTATATCTCATTCGTCTGTCCGTCAGTCTGTCAGTCTGTCAGTCTGTCCGTCACAAAAACTTTATCCTTGTCCACAACTTTTGATTTAGTGGAACTATGACTTTCATATTTCTTTTGTATATTACTTGTGACAAGACCTTTCTTCGGGTACCACTAAATTTGACCTTTTGACCTTGACCTTGGAGTTTGACCCACTTTTACACAAAAATTCCGAACTTTTACTTTGGCCATAACTTTTGAATGGTAGGTACTATGACTTTCATATTTCACATATGTATTTTTGTGGCAAGACCTTTCACTGCATACTAACAACTTTGACCTTTTGACCTTAACCTTGGACATTTCCGTACTTATGAAAAAAAATAACCATAACTTTTGAATGGTAATGGCTACGGCTTTCGTACTTCACATATATAATTCTTGTGAGAAGACCTTTCATTGGATTCCAAAACCTTTGACCCCTTGACCTTGGAGTTTTAACTTCTTTTTAAAGACTTTAACCTTGCTCACAACTTTTGAACAATACTAGGACTTTCATATTTCACATATGTTTTTTTTGTGGCAAGACCTTTCATTGGATACCAATTATTTTGACCCTTTGACCTTGGAGATATTCGTACTAATGAAAAAACTTAAACCTTGGCAATTACTTTTGAATGGTAAGGGCTAGGGTTTTCGTACTTGACATATGTATTCTTTGTGAGAAGACCTTTCATTGAATACCAAGGACTTTGACCCTCGACCTTGACCTTGGCGTTTGACTTTCTTTTCAAAAACTTTGACCTTGGCCACAACTTTTTAACGAGAGATGCCAGGACTTTTATATTTTACATATTTATTCTTTGTGGCAAGACCTTTCATTGAATACCACTAACTTTGACCTTTTGGCCTTGGAGATTTCTGTACTTATAAAAAAACTTTAACCTTGACCATAACTTTTGAATGGTAATGGGCTAGGGTTTTTTTTTCTTCAGATTTGTATTCCTTGTGGGATGACCTTTTATCGAATACCAAGAACTTTGACCCTTCGACCTTGACCTTGGAGATTTACGTAGTTCTGAAAAAACAACTTTGACCATAACTTTTGAATGATAAAAGCCAGGGCTTTTATAATTCACATATGTAATCCTTGTGAGAAGACCTTTTATTGAACACAAAGAACTTTACCCCTTTGACCTTGACTTTGGAGTTGACCCACTTTTAAAAAAAAAATTAAACCATGGCCATAACTTTTGAACGGTTAGGGTTAGGGTTTTCATCCTTCATATATGTATTACTTGTGACCTTTCTTAAGAAACAACACCTAAGACCCTTTCACCTTGGAGTTTGACCTACCTTTCAAAAATTTATCCTCAACTATAACTTTTGAACAAGTGGTGCTAGGGATTTTGTTTTGCACAATCGTATTTCTTGTGAGAGAATCCCTACTTTGGGTAATAATATATTTCATTTGCATTTAAGAAAAGTTAAATCTTCGTTATGTTGCCATACGGGGTCATCAGTGTTTCACAAACACATCTTGTTCCTAATATATTGAGAAGAATAGGGATTTCATACTTGACATCTGCATTACCTGTGACAAGATAATTCCGAGCATGCTATGATTTCTTACCCCTTGACCTTCACGATTGACCTTATTTTTAACAAAAAATAACTTCAATGATAATTTCTAAATATATGTCATAATAGAAAATAACATCTCTCCTAGAAAGACACCGAAAGCGGGGGACCACAATTCTTTGAATTTGCTTGTCAGCATTGTAGGTACTTAGATCTTTACAACTGATTAATTTACTTTATTGAGAGAAATTTGGGATCTATAATTTGAAAATCAAAAAATATATACTTCAAACCGCATCACTTAAACTGCAAAAAGAGTAATAAAGAGATTTATTACCCGGAAGAATTACTCAACCGTAAAATGCATGACGTAACGTAGGGAAAATGCAAACAGCCCAAAACACGTGGACTTTGATGATGACGAGTTTGTAAACAAATCTTGTAGCACCATTTGATGCATCATTCTACACAAAAACCACCATTAAACAATAGACTATTATTATCGTTACATTCATACGAAAAATGAAAGAAAACAATTACGCAATTTAGTTTTTTGAGCAGGTCAACTTACTGTTGTGTTCCTCTCACTGGTGCATGCGCGCGTTGTTTGACTAATTTTTTGGCGTGGTTATCCATGCCCAACATAGCCAGCGTTTAGAAAATAAACACTCTAATGAATTCCATGCAAAGGAGAACTAAGGTTCTGAAAGATGCACGGGACATAATGATTGAAGATAATGAGAGATTTCGATTTTAACATTTGGGAAGAATCGGCATATGAGCTTCGATAACTCATTAATTATTTGACAAAATCAAATGGGATGTGGGTTATATCTTTTTGAAAGATGATTTAAGTTTAATAGGAATACTGAAAATAATTAAAATGAAAATAAATTAATTTAATTCACCTCAAAATTTTACTCTGTGTTTCTTATCCCTTTCAGTGTATATTAACAGTTTTTTGTCATAGATTCTCAATTTAGTGTTCCTGTTGGTGAAGATTACTGTTAGTGTTATCTTTTATCTGTAATTGATTAAGAAGCAGAACTGTATTAGGTTACTTACGCTTGGTAATGCAAAAATAGATCAAAGACGGAATAATTTAGTCATTACTAATTGATTTAGCCGGGAACAACTGAAAAGGGCTGCCCAAAAAACGTACAAAGGAGATCTATTGTCGAGGCCCTGTGTTACACCAAGAACCAAAAGGAATTAGGCCTAACCGTGGTGATGAATAATTGATTATGTTATTTGTTTGCGATATTTAATATATCTTTTCAAATGTTATTTAATTTCGTTATCAGTGTCCGTTGCATTCTGAATATGATACCATTAAGTTTGACATTTTAGAATACATTGAATTAGATAAAGATAGATTAAGATCTATGTTCCATACAATTAATCTTATTTTCCTTGTCAATGACGAAATAAAATTTTGTTTTTTGGTGAAGAAATCTTTCAAAATAAAATACGTTTTCTGCATTGCTTTTTTTTTTGGAAATTAATTTTTCATAATAATTCAGTTCTGTCATTGGTCTTAATAAGTTGTTTAAATAATCAATTTTTCTCAGTGTACGGAGAATTTTAAATTCTTATTTTCAAAATGGGTTATATTTTATCCCCGTCATTTTAAAAATATTATAATGTACTGTGTAAAATAAAAGATAAAAGCAGGAAGGAAGGATTAAGTTAAAGTATTTCAAATGAAAGCTTAATCATTTGAATTTCGGACCCTGTAAAGAAACTCTAGAAATTTATCACTATTTACTTCAAACTAAGCAAACTGTGAAGTAAACAAAAAGACACCTAGTCCTATTGGCCTTTTTTCTAGGTAAATTTCGATAGTGAGGAAAGTTATTTGTCATGATCTACATCCATCTTTGTGTATTCTTTGCATTTTCAGTTCAACCTTTGAAGGCCTGTTATTTTACCCATAGTAAAAAAAACGGACAATGGTGATTTTAAAAGTCCCTCAGTCAGACAAACAGACAAACAGACATTTTTTATTTCCTCTGCAGCAGAGATCAATGCATCAAACTTTTAAGTATGTAATAAGAATTGAACTTTAGAACAAAAATGTGGATATATGTACACAAGTTACGGTAATCACATTGTTAAATATGACGTAAACTGTATATGATTTTATGCACAGACGATAACTTATCATTGCGCCCATGGGAAAAGGGGAACTTATGGCAAGTTTTATGCATTTTGAGTTTTTCATGGATTTTGATAGAATAAGGTTAGAAGTTGTCAAATATGAATTTTCATCCTCCTAAGTCTACTCAAGTAAGTTTATATCTTCATTTTTATCAAAGATACTTTAACAGGTTCATAATGACGTCATGTTTTTTAACAGCGTTTCGTGCAAACCGTGTAGCGAGCGTGCGAGAAGTGTGTGAGAAACGTGCGACTTTGTGTAAGATCCGTGTAAGAAACGTGCGATTTCCGTGCAAGGATCGTGTAAAAAACGTGTAAGATTCATTCGGAGGTCAAGTTTATCTTAAATATGGCCATCGATTGGCCAGGATGTCAAACTATGTTAGTATTTTATTATTAGAAATAGTTATTCTTGTGGTATTTTAGGAGTTAAAAAATGTAAACAACAAAAAGAAATTACATGCTAATGTATAAATCATTTGTTTGCGGTTTTTTTCTTCTAATGAAAATGTGTTCAAATTGATTAATTATATTGTACGTATATGTACAATAATTTCAAGGGTTCAAATGAGTTCAATATACTATCAATGCGATCATGGCTTTTAAAATTTTTTCCTCTAAGAAAGAAAAATATACAAGTATTCATACATATAGTTATTTAAGCAGATATACATCCGCTCTTGTCTTTACATTCAAAGTATTTGATAGAAAGTTCTGAAACGACGTGTCATTTAAACTGTACCTTTTAATACATATAATTTGTTGTTCATCATTGTCGAATAAATGAATTAGAATTTTAATTCACTTGCACTGTCGAGCATAGGTTTAGACATTCCCGGGGAGTTTGTGTGTGTTGGGGGGGGGGGGGGAGGAAATGATTGTACAGTTAATTTTTGTTGTTACGTTAATTTAAATAAATGCTTGATTTTCTATTTTCTTTTAAATCTTTTGTTAATTGTGCAGCTATTGTGTGTGCCGACAGACCCCTTAAAATACATTGGAATCTTCTTTCCGCCCTTTCAACTGTGATCAATGTCATTTACAAAAGCGATCACCAGGTGCGTTCAATCGTCAAAGTCTGCTCACTACAACTGCACGGACTGACAATATATTGTATGTTTGTTTTGCTTTCGAACTTGTCTACTCTGAATTTTCTAAATTAACGTATTAATATTTTTCATTTATACACAAGATTGCAACTTTTCCTAAGTATTAGGAATAAAATTAAAATTTGTGGAAGTGCAAGGATTTGTCAATCAAACCCGCCAAAAAAGTTGAAGTTTTAATAACTTTTAAATTAAATAAGATTTTAATTAATATTTGTGTGAAATGTTATTAAAATATATAAGTCGTAATATTATAGAGAAAATCTTTACTTCAAATCTTTATAATCTTTGAATTTTATAAAAAAACAACAGCATGCAAGTATCAAAGAGTTATATTTTCTGACATCTTGGATATAGATAGCCATACATTTAGTTTAGAGCACAGAGAATTTTCCTTTCAACTTACGGTATATTATTTGTTTTTAAAAATCATCTTTACAATAAAGTTTCACATCTCTCAATATTACAAAGTATTAATTCAATGTATCTTTTCCGCTACCCTAGCTCCAATCGTCGGAAACCCACGGGCTATCTCCTTTTCACTTATCAAAGACGAGATCACCCGTTGGTTTCCAACGATGTGAACCCCCACCCCCTCACCCCACCCCCTCGCGTCGAATTGTACCCGCCCATTTCATTGTCTATTATTGAATGTTTTGATTGTGAGAGATAGAAATGATGCAAACTGCATATTTCCAATCTTGTCAGTTAATGTTCCGCGGTCTTAAGTTCTTTGTTGATTGTGTAAATGTTTGAAATTTATATGTTTACACAAGGTGAGCTACTGCTTTTATCTCTTGAACAATGTATTTATATAAGTTTCTTAAAATGGCCAAATGAAAAAAGTATTTTATGTAACAAATATAAAAGGATACATAATGATTGAAAATTACGGTTATACGTTTTCAACAATGATGATCAGATATCACAATTGACACAACAAAGGAAATAAAATGGTGAAAATGAAAAAAGAATTCAAGGGAGATATGCCAGAATATATGCCCTAAGGTGACCTGAAAAGCTCTCGAGTATTATGAGTATTACGATGTCGAAAGCAGAGCGTTGCATTACAATCAAATGCTCATTAATTCCTTTTACCTACGGAAAAATATTCTAGTAGACTCACAAGAGATTCGAAAAGCTATGTGGTATATGTTTTGTTACATTTAAGAAAATCGTTTGAATCATGATATATATATATATATATATATATATATATATATATATATATATATATATATATATATATATATATATATATATATATATATATATATATATATGTAAGAAAGCACAAAGAAATTCACTTTTACATGGATACCCACTTCCGCCCCAGCCCGGGGTTGAACTCTCGACCTTCGGAATCTGTATTGGTAACAATCCTCTGTTAAAACTAATGTCCAAATAACTGTATCTCACTTCTATTCTCAATGACCGTGTAGTGTAGGACAGCGCCGCGAGAATTCCATCGGCATCGAAAGCAAGTTTTTTTGACTTGCCTAGATAGCCGAGCGGTCTAGCGCGCTGTTCCTGCACTGCTAGGAGACAGATTCCGTAGGTCGAGAGTTCAACCCAGGCTGGGGCGGAAGTGGGTATCCATGTAAAAGTGAATTTCTTTGTGCTTTCTATATTAATATTTCTTCACTTAGGGCAGTTATGTTAGTTTAAGAGTTGTTGTAAAATGTGCTTTATATATATATATATATATATATATATATATATATATATATATATATATATATATATATATATATATATAAAGCACCATTCACAACAACTTTTTAACTAATATAACTGCCCTAAGTGAAGAAATATTAATATACCTGGTAGAAAGCACAGAGAAATTCACATTTTCTAAGGATACCCACTTCTGCCCCAGCCTGGGTTGAACTCTCGACCTACGGAATCTGTCTCCTAGCAGTTCAGGAACAGCGCGTTAGACCGCTCGGTTATCTAGGCAAGTTATAAAACTTGCTTTCGATGCCAATGGAATTCTCACAACGCTGCCCGTCACTACACGGTCATTGAGAATAGAAGTGAGATACAGTTATTTGGACATTAGTGTTTAGAGGATCATTACCAATACATGTTGTGATGAAATTAATTTTATTTATAAAGCACAATTTACAACAATTCTTAAACTAATATAACTGCCCTAAGTGAAGAAATATAAATAGAGAGAGCACAGAGAAATTCACATTCCGTAGGTCGAGAGTTCAATCCCGGGTTGGGGCGGAAGTGAGTATCCTTATAAAAAGTGAATTTCTCTGTGCTTTCTATATTAAAATTTCTTTGCTTACATCTGTTGGGTTTGATGATAAATATAATTATCCCCCCCTTCTGCATTATCGTCAGTGCTAAATCCGTTCTAAATCATTTCTAAAGAAATAATTATAAACGTGTCAGTGATTATGTTAAAAATCATTGTTTTCCATCTCCAAGCTGTAAAATCAATTTTAAAAGGTTTAAAAAAAAAACAAACTTATTTGTGTATGTTATGTTAAAATTCATTTAAAAAGCCCAATTCTTAATCTAAAATAATTAAACCAAAAAAAAAAATAATACGCACGTTCTGCATACTCAAAATTTGTTTCAAATTGCGCCTCTACATCTACACTGATTTACACAACCTAGCTATAACTGGAGACATGGTTACTGATAGTTACTTACAATCTACAGGTGTTTCTGGCGTTGGTAGGTATCTTGGTTAATGCTTTAGTAGAACAGTTTACCAGTATATCATAATAAGCGCTGTAACACTGATATGGACGGGAATCCTCAGATTTACAGCTACACAGATCAGGGCAATCTCCGATAACAGATTTATAGAACAAAGCGAAAAACACTAAAGACAGAATCATCTTCAAATAAAATAAGGCACATTTATCTATTATGTATCATTCTAAGTATCAAACAATCCAAATGAAAATATTTTCCTGCTTGTGTTTATATGTACTTTAATGAGGAAGTATTTTAATAAAAATACCGAAAAAGCGTAAGGTTAAACGGACCTCTGATAAGACATATGTCTTCTAAAAAATATTCCCGAAATGTTTAAGTTTGCTTTTGAAGACCATTTTATTGTTAATTCATTCACACTCAATACTCAATGTGAGGTACTAAAAGTAATTTCTGTCTTCTTTTGCCATTATTTGTTTTTGATTGCTATAAAGCACTTTTGACCTAAAGCAACTTGAAATATTTTACAACTTTAAAAGCTTTTTAAAATTTTCAATAATTTATCATATGCACAAATAAATGTATTATACATTTTCATAGTTTTTTTTTCAAATACTATACTGTATCAACATTTCCTTGTTTTGAAAACATCAGTCAACTGTTGAAATAACAAAAGGTTATATTAGCAAAGAGGATGATTTCAACAATTGTCGATTTTTTTTACATTGTTAATACACGTATTAATGTAACATCAGCTTATTTGTCGGTAGCTTATTGGTTAAGAGAGTGGGATCGTTAGCAGAATATATGCCCAAACCTATCGACGTAGACACAATTTAGCGCTGATGATGGTTTAATGCTTCATGTGGTAGGATATTTATCGATATAAAAACTAGAGGTACTGTGAGAAATGAGCTCACTAAATGACACCCCCCGCCTCCCATATGAATATAACGGTTGTTTCAATGTTTTACTATGGGAAACCCAAAATATGTGTCGGCTCAAAAAGTAAAATAGGATATGCACAATGACATTATATAATAAAGATTATCTGAAACTCTTGTTTTACGTTCCATTTGAAAATGTTTCACTCATTTATAGACGCTAGCATATCCCGATGAATGGGTTTAAAATTTGACGCCTTCTGTGACACAGATCCTCCGTTTTCACGGTATCATTTAAGGACCAGCATTTTCAAAGTAAAGGCCGAATGTATAGCGAAGAAACAGTTGCTTTCCATGTTTTTTATCAAGTAGGTCCAGAGTTCTCCACATTAATTTGAAAATTTAAACATGGAGGATGCATGAAGGCATTAAACAGCGACAATGGTTACACAAAACTTATTACAACTGCTGCATTAAAATTTATTTAACTATCCTTTCTCAGCTAAAAAAATAAAAGTAAAAAAGATTATGTATCTCTCTCTACAAATGCACCAAATTTGGCCCAAAACTGTAGAAGCATTTTGAAATAATTTCAAAAAATATTTTTGTATCTATGGCAACATTATTCAAAAACTGATATACTGAATTTATGTTGCCTGTTGTATAAAACATTATTTAATTATGACTAAAACTGGTGGTAGTATTTTGAAAAAAAGTTAACAAATACACAAAAAGACGCAGGAATAAAGACATCCTGTAGTACCTAAGCTTTTGTAATGGCATGGCCTATAAAAACCTGCTGCTGGTATTCATGGTTATTGTAACTTTATAGTTCTAGTATAACCAGGGGCGTAAATTTGACATCATATCCGTAATTTTGCGTTCTCTATTTTGAGATCTGTAATTTTGCTTTGTCTATTTCTCTATTTTTCTAAACGTTCTTTTTTCTATATATATTGCATCCTCCATTGTTTACTTCTCCACGTCCCCAGTACTTAAAATAGCACCCCGCGACATTTCATAAAAACGGGAGGTAACTCTGAAATAAATCAGAGAAGAAAATATTATCTTGATAATATATTGAAATGACCGAGTTTTTCAAATATTTATCTTACTTAAAGTTGTCAGATTTTTGTTGAAAAAGAATAAAAGCGTTTCAGTTTGCTGATGTTCAGAACATTTTTAATTTTGTTCAAACATTTTATAAAAAGCACATAGCAACTAGAAATATTTCGGTGAACATAAAAAAAGTCACGTTAAAAAAGTACATTGTGAACACAGTTGTACAGTTTTCATCAATATATATATATATATATATATATATATATATATATATATATATATATATATATATATATATATATATATATATATATATATATATATATATATACAGTCAAACTTGTCTTAGCGGCCACCCGAAATCAACGGCCACTCGCGTTCAGCGGCCACTCTCAGTTCCCCCCGACGATTTTTCCTATATATTTTAACTGGAATAAACGGCCACCTGTGTAACGCGGCCAGCGGCCACCCAAATCCTCCCCCAACAGCCTTATTGACACTGTAATAGGCGGCCATTTCGTCACTTGTCGCGGTCCTATTACATCTTTTAAACGCATTGGCTTGGGTAATTATATCCTCGATAGTAAATTTAACCTATTAATGCAATTAAAAAAATTGCTTTTATATCCACAACTTTTCCACTAATAAAAGTAACTTCACAATATGAAAAGCCTTTCCGTAGCTTGTTCTTGTTACTTGAAAACTAGTGAAGACACGAGAACTTGAATTGAGTGAAAATGTCATTTATTGACCAAATAAATGACGAAAGTGAACAAAAACACATAAATATACAATATTACATACAATAATGTAAATTATAGCTGGGATAAGGCCAAATAATGATTAGTTTCAACTTAGATATGATATATTGCGAATTAGTGCTTATCCCAGCTATTGTTATATAATGATTACCAAGTTTGTGTAACAAGAAGGTTGCGTAAACAAAGAGGCCACACGACATGGTAAATGCTTGATGTTATACAATGAGGAAAAAATTCCATACAACAAAAATTCAAATATTGGTATTACATGGGAGGAGGATGGGGAGGTGGCGGTAAATTGATTCCAACCTCATGTTTGCGTCAAATCAAATTAATTGAGCACTCGATCCCGATCAAGCTGAACCCGATCCAAACATGAGTTCGATCCCGATCTAGTCGACCCCACTCTTTTTACATAAAAAATCAATAACAACTGCAAATTTAATCTAAATTTGTCAAAAACAATGTAAAAAAGATTGTATATAAATCATTTTATGAGACATAAAATTGTATTTATATCCACAACTTTTCCACTAATAAAAGTAACTTCACAATATGAAAAGCCTTTCCGTAGCTTGTTCTTGTTACTTGAAAACTAGTGAAGACACGAGAACTTGAATTGAGTGAAAATGTCATTTATTGACCAAATAAATGACGAAAGTGAACAAAAACACATAAATATACAATATTACATACAATAATGTAAATTATAGCTGGGATAAGGCCAAATAATGATTAGTTTCAACTTAGATATGATATATTGCGACTTAGTGCTTATCCCAGCTATTGTTATATAATGATTACCAAGTTTGTGTAACAAGAAGGTGGCGTAAACAAAGAGGCCACACAGCATGCAAAATGCTTGCATGAGGCATGCAGCGCCACCCAAGGAAAGGCATTTCATAAATTATATGCTGCTCAATATTAAGTGTAGCAAACATGTGTTCTTTAACAGATAATAACATTGTAAACTGAATATCATATAACTGTATTGACTAAATAAGCATAAATATTACTGTAATAACCCACATAAGCACAAAGTTATATCTGAATAAGTAACAAAATATAAAGGACAAAGGTTACTAAACCTGTGAATAACATAAGGTTAACGAGACTAAAAAGGGGACCATATGCTACCTCATAAACAACATGAGCTCATTTTTACAATTAATATTTTATGAACATCCATATGCTGAACTTATGCACAAAATTCAGAACAAAATCCTGCTGAGTTCCAACTAACATACAGTTTTTATAAGCAGCTGTTTGCTGACCTGATACACAAATTTTTGAACTTCTAAGCTCATGACATGATACAATTTTGTAAACGGACATATGCTGACCTGATACAGAATTCTCAAGACCAAATTTAAAGCTGAATTCCAACTAACATACATAAATTTTATGAGCAGATGGGTGCTGTCCTCAAGTATATTAGCTCGCAAATTTAATGCCATTATGAAGAGTAAAATGTGCATCTAACTAGCACTTATTTTTCAAAGCGAACACTTTGCAAGATCACTGACCAAAGTACTATTTCATTTAAGCAGCTAAATGCTGACCTCGGAAGGTTTAAATTTGTTTGTTTTTTTTTTGTTTTTGTTTTTGTTTTTTTTTTTTTTTTTTTTTTTTTTAAAGGATGCCATAAAATTTTTACAATTTATCACAGCAACCATTAGCTGGCCTAATAGACCTGATTTATGTGTTTAATTACTGAAATGGATGTTAAAAGTTTATCAGATTCTAATAAACTTCTGGAAAAAAAAAAACAAAAAAACAAAAACAACCATATGCTGACTTCTCTCTTTGGATAGTCGATGGCAGTACATATAATATAAGGGGAAACATTTAGTTTGGAATTGATTTATACGTTTAATCACTGAAATGGATGTAAAAAGTTTATCAGATCCTATTTCAATTCTGAAGAAAAACAACCATATGCTGACTTCTCTCTTTCAATAGTCGATGGCAGTATATGTTAAAGGGGAACATTTAGTTTGGAACTGATTTATATGTTAAATCACTGAAATTTGATGTAAAAAGTTTATCAGATCCTAATTAAATTCTGGAGAGAAACAACCAAATGCTCACTTCTCTCTTATCATAGTCAATGACAATACATGTATAAGGGAAACATTTAGTTTAGAATTCTTAACATCAATTGTGGAATTTAAAATCTGACTGCATTTATTTTAATGTAACGTCTTTGAGTGCCAACGACCGAGTTGTTGGATTACAATTTCAGATAAACCATTCTAAGCTGCCACTAGCAGTACAAAACTTGCAGTACAAACACAAAAAACTATGACCAAAGTAAAGCAATCAGTTGAAAACTTATACAGCAACACTCCGTTATAACAAAGTCGCTGGGACCTTTGAAATTACTTCGCTATATCCGTAATTCGTTTTAACCGTATAAGAAATTCTTAAATTTATATAGCTGGAGATTAAAAATGACTTCGCTATATCCGTGAATTCGAAATATCTGTGTTCGTACTAAACGAGTTTTACTGTATTGCATGTTTTGATTGGAATCCCACAAAATTGAACTTAACTGGTTCATCAGATTTGAAGGTGAATAAAGGACTAGATGTGTGTTGATGTTAAGTAATGTATACTTTTAAGGCATGAACTGGACAAAATTGACATTTTAAGTCATTGGCTGTTAAAGTATGTACCACTGGATGCCTATCATTTATAGATTGGAATATCTCATTGTTATGTAAAGTGAATTATCATCAAGAAATATTATGGCTTGTCTTTGAATTACTTTGAGTTGTATGTGTTGTTTATAGGAACGAGTTTGCCTAAGTGCATAAAAATGTTCAAGGTATCAGGAAGATTGCTGATAGTTGGTTCTTGTATCTGCTTCTTGAAAAGTGTGAAATAAGTCAGATACTAATTCATTAAGATGGGTTTTGTGATTGGAAACTCTTGGCTCTTTTGACAACTTTCCTACCATAGAGGAGACAGTATTTGGTTCATAAAATTAAAAATTGCAAAGAATTCTTTCTGTAGATGGAAGATAAAACAGTAAACTATGAGTTTTGAAGGTATAAATGCTGTATTATCAGCTAAAAGGCAAATTTTTATAACTGAAATATGGGACCCAAATGTCTACTAGAAAAATGATTGGAAGAACTTTAAGATAAATTTGACAATCTATATGAATATCTAACTAAGATTTAGCAGACCATTTTAAACTTTATACAGTTTCTAAACCCAAAGCACCAGATACATCTATCTACTTATAATTGTAGCTTCTGTAAAGAACACCACTAATACTGATGAAATATTGACTTGCCACAAAAATGATCCATATTAAAAGGCTACATTGCCTTAATTCAACATGTTCCTTAGCAGTTGATTTTCTATGTAATGGTTTGGTTTGCAATTACACTCAGGATTCAAATCTATGAAGAGTCTCAAACAATGCACGACCAGGTGTGACCACTTGACAGGCAAATTTTGAACATTTATCCTGGACTATCCCTCTCAACATTTGTCAAATATTAATAAGTTTGTTCTCATGTCTTAGATAATCTACTTCCTATAGAAATAGAATCTACCTCAATTCCATATATAGTCAAACAAGTTATTGAGAAGACAGTTTTTGTTTCTTTAGAGGAAAATATACTCTCAAACGTAATTGTTTGAAGTTTCTAACATCAGAGAGACATTTTGAGATATTAGCCTGATTTTTATTCCATTTTTGTAAACCATTACAAGGACCTGTTTAAAACTTAAATAAAACTGACAAGATGAACTAGCACCCATTGGTTAACATTTATCAAATAATATTGATTGTTAATTGATAGTCTAAAGGTGCTTTGGGATATTTCTAACATCATCTCCTATGTCTAGCTTAGCCATAAGTGTCTCTCAGATATAATCTGTAATACATTTTCATTAATGTCACATTGCACAACTTATTTTTCACAAAATGTCTTCATTTACTGATAATACATTATATCGCCAAATTATCTATATATATTTATAAGTATTTGTATGTTTTGAGAATGAAATGATTTAAAAATCAGAATATAATAGCACTTTTAATAGTGCTCACCAAATGACATGGTAAATCTGCACATACATGCACTTGAAAGAGCACGAAATGAGTAAAATGACAGATATATTTAATATAGCCAATTTTCAATTATTTATGATGAATTGCTTTTAAAATGAATGCATTAAAAGTGTAAACATTTTGATATGGTCATTATGTATGTGCATGTATTTGTGTGTGTGTAAACCCTAAAATGAATAAAATATTAGATTGCCTTATTTTATTAAGCTTGCCGAGAATAAGACACCAGGAAGGACATAAGGAACTTGGGGGAGCATTTAGTGAACATCTGAAATGGTTCCCATTACAATTAAAACTAGTTGACTGAGGATTTAATGCTTAACATTATTTTCTATCTGAATTGAAATATTTTTCTATTTTAAATTTAGAAGTAAACTTTTGAGGTCAATGCAATGATCATTAAAGATTTTATTTATTTATTTATTTTTTTTTTTATTTGTCTACCGATAATGGGACAGAATCTAGTTATTACTGTTAAATGTATCTGCCACCGAACACCTGAAAAACAATGCAACTGTTATAAGGAAAAGCAATGCAACTGTTATAAAGGTGTTTACCAAATAGGAACTATTCAAATCAGTAGAAGATGTTATAGAAGTCTGCAGTGCAGTGGTGCAGCCTTTGAAGCGATCTTGTTTGTAGAAGCATTGCTGAGAGTCAAGGCTGTTGCTGCTGTCTAAGATTTGCTGCTGCCAGCTGATTTTTTGGAGCAGCCACTTGAGTTGATGATCAGTTGGAATCCATCGAATTACCCAAACTGAATCCACAGAGAGCAATTGAGCCGGTTAACTGCGTAACTTCACCTTTTTGGGAGGCTTCGGACCCATCACATTTCCTCTTTTTTGGTGTCCTTTTATTCTACAATAAGTCTAAGCAGTTGTAATTGCCATAGGTGATAATATAATAGAATTAATAATTTTCTTTGCCACCAAGTTATAAACACATGGTGGATAGGAGCAAACATGCTTACATATTTCATCTTCATCATTTGTTATTGAACTCTTCACAATGCATGTTGCCAATCTATTATATATACAAGTGTCGGCTCAGCTTAAAACAGGTCAGTACATCATGGTCATCATAAAATTCATCAACCGTGACATAAAAGTGATAGGCAACCCTTTTTTTTTTAAATAAATAAAAAGATCTTCCAACCTTCATTAGATACATGGAAGATTAAGAAAAACAAACTGGAGCCTTCACATAGTCACATGCAAAAAGACATTGATAGGCAAACCACTTATAAATAAATAAACAGATCCTCCCAACCTTCATTAGATATTGGGAAGATTAAGAAAAACAAATTCCTTTTTTGAAATAAAGAAACAGATCGTCCCAACCTTCATCAGATATTGGGCGATTAAGAAAAACAAACGGTAGCCTACACATAACATGATGGAATCAATTGACGATTCCCATAATCATACTGGAATCAATTCACGATTCCCAACATCAATTGGAATCAATTCACGATTCCCATACTGACCAGTACTGACACTGACAAAAACAGCTGGAGCCTTCACATACATAAAACATTGATAGGCAGCCATATTTTAATAAATAAACAAATCGTCCCAACCTTCATTGGCCATTGGGAAGATTAAGAAAAACAAATTGGAGCCTTCACATAATATGATGGAATCCATTGGCGATTCCCAAAATTTTGGTAAGTGCTGACATTGACAGCAAATTATTAATTCATGTAACATAATGTGCAGAGACATGTCGAGGTTTATGTTGAAATTAAATAAGCACTAATATAATGTCATATTTTGTGTAACATGTGACATGACATATTGCGGAATTAGCCAGAATCTTTATCACATGCATTCAGTGTTTTCCCTATCTATAAATGACAAAATTGTCGCTTTAGAATAACAATTTGTTGTAAGATCCACAGAGATTTTGTGATCTCTAATCCTTTACTTTGAAATAAATGGAAAACACTGATGCATAACAATCAATCATCATATGTGCAATGTACTACTTATCATTATTCTCCCATCCAGTCAGATGGGAGGCATGGAGGGCAGCACTTTTTATGTTCTGAAGGTACTTCATGAACCGGTGGTCGCAGCTGTTGTCTTCAGGTGAACCCCATCACTTGCCAAGTATTTCATGTCTGGGTTCCAGAAACTGCAGTGGTGCCAAATTAAATTATTGCTGGTGAACTGGTGATATTGATTGTGTAAAAGTTTATTATTGTCAATCACTGTTGCCTATTTGGATGGATGTCTGCTGACCCACTTGAAAGTCGAGAAATATTCTCTTGAACTGGCTAGCTCGCGGGTCTTGAGACCGCCCCTGGCTCATATAAACAATTTAAATGTATGTTTCTGTAGCCGTGAATTATCGAAATCTGGTTCATTCAGTTAAAAAACACAAAGCAACTCTTCAAAGAAGGATTGACCTATCTGCACTACAGTGCGCGGTTTGGGATATCAGGTTTTTACCTCCATGCTGACTAATCCGAAATCGATTAAGACAATTGCACAATCCATCAAACTGTTCAAACTAATAACGCATCTGAGGTGATGTCACAGGAGTAGAAATATAGCTTAAAATCAGAGAAATTTGAATATCTCTCTAAATTGATTCCAACCTAGCAATTCCACCTAAAAATTAAAATATAGTATTTGACATTCAATTTTTGATTTCTGAGCAGTTAAGTGCAGAAGATTAAAGGAATAAACATTCTTTGTTATGAAATTATAACAGAATAAAGTAAATATTGATGCCAAAAAATACCCAAACACTAACAACGTCTGTGACCTATAAGGGAAGATAACTACGAAAAGTATTTCGAGCGCGATTGAAATTAAGCAAAATATATATAACTGGATATAAGGTTTGAATGGTTTTAAAATAAAAATAATTAAGGAATGCATTTCAAATTGCAAAAATTTCATTATATTTATAGGAATTCTGAACTGTCAGCACTTTATTCTATACAAATCATGAAAATACCAACGATGCCTCTGACCCCGATCCCGATGAAGAAAAAAAATTAACAACAGAATACCACGTCAGTAGGTTAAAAAAATATTTACAAAAATTTTCACATTTATAGAACGTGTAATTTTCACATGACCTTTGTAAACATTCCTTCTAATTTTTAGTCGGCGAGCAACTTCGAGCAAGCAGAAGAACATGTGAAAAAAAATATTTTCTTGTGTCGTACATGTTAGACATGTATTTTTAAAATATATTTACATTTAATCTAATTACATATACAGTAAAAATATTACAGAATAATTTCACCAAATACCTATAGAAAATTATTTTTACTGGTAAAGGCAATGTCACATACCAGATAAAGGTCAGTCATGCGAAACGCGAAGTGTGCGTATCTGCAAATGCAAGGACACACTCAACACAGTAAAAGACCACTACCGCTGATGATTGAGTTGTCGTTCGTTTCCTCCCCCTAGCGGTCAGTCGAAATGCTATCCAACCTCATGTTTGCGTCAAATCAAATTAATTTAGCACTCGATCCCGATCAAACTGAACCCGATCCAAACATGAGTTCGATCCCGATCTAGTCGACCCCACTCTTTTTACATAAAAAATCAATAACAACTGCAAATTTAATCTAAATTTGTCAAAAACAATGTAAAAAAGATTGTATATAAATCATTTTATGAGACATAAAATTGTATTTAGATACGCTGAACTCTGTTTGTGTTTATGAAAAAAATATATTTGTCCTGTTATATCAATTTGTAATTATTTTTCAAGATCGCCGATTGAAAAATTAAAAGAATTTAATTACAATTTATACTTTCCTCTATCTAAAGAAATTCACACCTTTTAGATTTTGATTCCATGAAGAAGCCCTAATTGTTACTCTTGTGAAAACAAAGTGCTTCTTGTGCCATGATTATCTCGTGAATTTCACCATCAAGAGACTATCAATAGGGATTAGTTACGCTCTACTGCACGTGACACCTGTGTTATGGAATGATTTTCAACTGCGTAAATACATCTCTATGGTCAACTGGTTAATTTTATTTGTGTGTCTGTGTATGTTACATAGAAATTCTGACAACTTTATAAACAATAAAATTAACCAGACTTTTAAAACATTAGCAAGTAAGTTAATTACCGATTAATTAAGTGGGGGGGGGGGGGTTACACTGCTGACCACTTTTTTAACATATGAAAGTGAACATATTCTTACTTAAATTTCTATGCTTTATTTTATTCACCATGAAGTTTTATTTTGTGCATTTTTTTCTTTATAAAAAAGGATAATAGTCAGGCACTGGATGTATTTCTTTTTATATTTCAATGTAACAAAAGCACACTGTTGAATGCAAGATTTTTAACTAATATGCAGGAACAGAAACATGCACAAAACCTTTAACATTTCGAATTCTTTAATATTTTTTTAATGAGCTTGAGTTATTATATATTTACATAAAAAAGCTTTTTTTAAAATTGACCTGTTTAATTATGATTGATTAATTTAACTGTAGTGCTTAATTTTGTTTATTTATTGACCGAATGTCCTTTTTGAGGGCAAACTGGAATAAGAGGCCACCTGTCTTAAGAGGCCAGTTTCCAGACTTCCCAATGGTGGCCTCTTAAAACAAGTTTGACTGTATATATATATTATATATATATATATATATATATATATATATATATATATATATATATATATATATATATATATATATATATATATATATATATATATATATATATATATATATATATATATATATATATATATATATATATATATATATATATATATATATATATATATATATATATATATATATATATATATATATATATATATATATATATATATATATATATATATGTGTGTGTGTGTGTTGAGATAAAAATAGTGTTTATACCAGTACGCATAGTTTCTTTGGTACTGAGCGAAATTTGAATTTAAGGTGAGTCTAGGCCTAGAGGCCATAAAACGTAAAGGAGCTCACATTTGATCTCAGTCTCACTTTTTCCACTATTAATTTCTTTGGTAAACGTGAGACTGAGCTAAAAAAAATGAGCTCGTCTACATTTTATGGTCCCCAGGCCAGGCACCAGGATCATGAAAGATCTTAGCTTAAGTCAAAATCTTCATGTTGTATTTAAATGTTGTGGAAACCAAGCAGATAAAAATTAAAATATCTTTCAATAATGATTCTCAAAAGTGTCGTTATTTGTAAAATTTGAAATCAATTCATATACATGTTAAATGTTTATTAATTATTGAATTGATTTTACTAAAAAAGGAACAAGGGGAGAGGGGGTAGTGACCATATTTTTTTGTTTCCTATCACTGACAAATTCTATATGCCAAAAATTAGAATTTGTTCACTCAATCTATTCTAGAGAAAAAAACTGAAATGTTTAAATTCTAATTAACAGTACGATGGACGCAGATAAAATATCATGAAAATCAGACGTCTCTAACTAGACTGTACATGTAACCTTAATGTTTTTTTTTTTGATAACAAGTATAGAGACAATTAGCATTTTGACTTAAAACTCTAATAAGAATATCATTTAAAATTTACAGAGATACAAATAACATGTATAAGTTCACGTGTAACAAGTGAAACACTTCAACAATTTTTATCTTAAAAACTTTTCTACAGAATTATGTTTTTAATGTATCGTACTTGTGTTCAAAGTTGATGTAGAAAGAGCAGCATTTTGAAAGTTGATTTGATGTACAAAAGAATCGTAATAAGATACAAACATAAAAATCATTTTATCTCTTTTTAAACGATAAAATGTTTTAATCGCTTCCTTGTGCATATCAATGCACAGATAAAAATGTAGAGAGCAAATACATATATGTATCACCGAAATTACATTATTGAAGTCTACGTTTTTAACTAAATTTAGTTTAATAAGTACAAATAACCTCTTTTTGATTCCTGTTGGAAATAAAATAAGAGGTTCCAAAGTACAATATCAGAAACCTAGTATAACTGGTATCAAAATAAACGTCTATTAATAAATTGATTTATTTCAAAATTTTACTAAAAAGGGGTGTATATTTACTCCTTCTCAGAAACATACTGGAAGATTTTGAACAAAGTATTTCTTATTGATATAACACTGTTACTGTCGGTAGAAACTATGAAACCATCTTAGAACTGTCTAAGAATATATTTCATTTGAATTGTTCTATCAATAAAGGATTAGAATTCTGTTCCCCGCGAGTACGCGTGATTTCATCTAGTTCTCTCTATTTGTAGCGACGACGATTGATATCCTGGAAATATGCCTTTTTCCTTTGATTAGCATACGTCATTTGCAAAATTATTTTGTTAAAACAGATTCTGATTGTACACATAAGTACACCGAAGTTGATATCAAGAAGATGCTTGCGTTTCTGATCGACAATATCTATGTGGTTTTTGGAGACCAGGTATTCCAACAATCTATTGGAATTCCCATGGGTACAAATTGCGCTCCGTTATTAGCAGACTTATTTTTATATTCATATGAAGCAGAGTTTATGCAAAATCTTATGCGTGAAAAGGAGAAAACACTTCCTGTGGCCTTCAACTCGACATTTAGATATATCGACGACGTATTTTCAATTAATAATGGTAATTTCCATTCCTACGTCGATACAATATACCCTGGTGAGCTTGAGATAAAAGATACCAGAGAGTCCGACACATCTGTTTCATACTTGGATATTTTACTTGAAAAAGACAATAATGTTTATCTAACAACCAAGCTTTATGATAAACATGATGACTTTACACTTTTCTATCGTCAAAGTCCCTTACTTATGCGGCAATATTCCTTCATCACCTGCATACGGAGTATATTATCTCAGTCGATTCGATACGCAATAGCATGATCTACGTATGAACAATTTCTAAAAGAGGTTAATTATTGACAAGCAAGTTGATGAAACAAGAATATCAGCAGTCTCGTTTAAAGTCATCATTTCGTAAGTTCTGTGGTCGATACAATGACCTTGTCAGCAAATACAATTCATCATTAAGTCAAATGCTGACAGACGTTTTTCATACATGTACCCATTGTTAGTACATTATTTATACAATGAATTGACGACGGATTTTTTTTGTTATTTCCTGATCATAACAAGGAGCACACGGCGAGTGTGAACGGTCTGCAGGGGATGCTCACTCCTCCATGGCACCTGATACCATCTTTGATGTTTTGGGGGTCTGTGTTTGCTCTGCTCTTATTTTGTATTGTTTTATGGACTGTTTGTTATCTCCATATCCTTACCCATATGTGTTATAAGTTTTCAAGAACCGTATTGCAAATCACTCACAATCACACATCATTATGAAATATGTTTGGAAAATAATTTAACAGTAAATTTTATTCAAATAGTTTTACCTTTAAAAATGAGTTTTGGCATAGTTACAATTACATTAAAAATTATTTCTTGTATAGTGTCAATCACATTCAAATTTATTTTTGTATAATATCCCCATTTTCAAAAGTGAGTTATTTCCCCTGAAGGGAACTCTTTTACTGTGTTTAATACGCATGCGCTATAAATAAAGTCACTTCCGCGGACGTTCTTGATGTAAACATGTTCATGGTGTAATGCCTCTGTCATATGGAAAAATGTTATTGTGTTTGTGAATAAAAAGAAATCTTAACTGATTCATATTTTTTTAAATTGCCCACTCATTGTCTCTTTCTGGATTTGTATTAATCTGTATAGTAGTATAATAAGGCGCTGTGTGAGCCCCCCCCCCCTCTTACAAAAAACAGAAAGGAAAAAAATTACTGATAAAATGCTGATGCATATTCGAATAGGCCTATTTAAAAAAAATAAATAAATAAAAAAAAAATAAATAAAATAAAAAACAAATTTTCGGTAGTGAATGTTCTGCAGACGGATCATCACTATTTACAAAATGTGCAGAACAAATGTAAGAATTTTTAGTTTTTACGAATTAATTAATCTAGCGTGCTGCAGCCATATTTTCTTCTCTGCATCTCTAGGAATTTTTTGGAGACTGATGACATGTCCATCTACAGTTTTACCCCTGAAATTGTTGCATATACAGCAGTAGTTCGTCTTCCGCGACCGATAACAAGAAACTGCGTTTTTGCTCGATTGTATGTCATAAAATAGAACTTTTACTTACAAGAACACATTTGGTGACAATTAAAGGCCTATTTCATTTGAATTAACCGTGTTTCCAGAATTTTTTATTTGTAAAATAATTGATTCACTGCATGCATAGTATTAAAAACTTTGAATGGAATTCTAAATGAATAAAATAATCTCATGTGCTCATGTAACGAAGAAAGACTAATTAAAATAGCATCGACCTGAATTCGTGTTACATATGTCGTATAAAGTCTGAGCTGCATTTAATCAAAGTTTTAGTGCAGGATCTAAGCATATGTACCATGTGTACATGCATATTCCCGAGGAAAATACACATTTTGTTTTAGATCAGAGAATTGACAGCAGAAACACGAAATTGATACAATACTTTCCTAGCGTATTTCTTGTTAATTAACGGAAAACATTCTTTTCTCAAGTGTTATTCATGTTTTACTTTTTCTATTGAAAATGTTCATTGAAAGCTGCCCCCCCCACCCCCCAAAACACACACACAGTTTATACTACGGTAAAGCTATAAAAGGGAAATGTAGTATTGTATGCCAAGG